GTATAAATTACAGATCAATGTGAAGCGCCACGTTTATATCCGCAGCTGCACTGAGGTCATTCCTGAATTATTGAACGCCTCCTTTTCCTTGATCTCGCATCTGAGCGTTAGAATATCATCCATCATGCTGATGTCACTTTAATTTGATTTATGTCACTGTAGTTTTTAAGGTTGTGGTATGATATAGTTGTATGTATTAAAATGTACCATGGTGCAGTATTTATAGGGCACTGCAATAGTCCATATTCAGAAATAAGTGATTATAAAGGCATGATATATTTCAAAGTACTGTGTGATTATCATCTGACTTCAGAGTGCCGTGGTGTTTACTAAGAAAACATTTATTTAATTAACTATTGAACTAACGGGCGTTACTGTACAGTCATCATGAGAGAGGCCGTCATTAAAGCAGAATTCACTATATTCTCTGTTTCATGCATCAGTTCAGCCCCATAACTCAACACTTGTGGCTTTATTGCTGGATACTGAGGTCTCGTGTTCAGGGGAGCGTCTGGATCTGGCGTGTGCATTTCCCGTAAGTGTCGTCTAATGGGCTGATTATTCTGCCGTTATTGATCTGCTCATCCGAGAGCGACAGCAGGGCTTGTGTTCATAGATGCTGGACTCTCGTTTCAGCCTTGTGTCCTCACGGGTCTAACGGGAAGCATCAGGACACCGGTGATGAGTCGCTCATAAAATAAATAAATAAAATGCATTTAAAAAAAAAATATATATATATATATTTATTTATTTTAATATATCATATATATATGATATATATTATATATATAATTTATTTATTTAAAAAAAATCATTTTATTTAATTTATTTTTTATTTTACCTTTACTTTATACATTCTAGGACACATGATGCTCAAAATAAGCATTTTATAATTTGTGTAGTATTTTCTATCAGGCTTTATATATACCTTTTATTTAACCAGAAGAAAACTCGTTGAGATTAAAAATCTCTTTTCCAAGTGTGTCCTGGCCAAGACAGGCAGCACAGACATAAAAAAACATTAAACTTAAATACATGGATCATCCAAATAATTAGTCATAACTACAGCCAGTATGTGTAGCCTCTGTCATTTAAAAAGTCGTTTAAACTAACTTTAATTTAGTTTAGTTTAATTTGGTAATTTGAACAAGCTTTATTGCTAGTTCACAAAATGCGTTCTTAATCATGATCATCACAATTTGCGCCTGCCATTAATCTTTAATTAATCACCACCAGCTCAAAATTGATCTGCAGAAAGTTCCACTATTTCAACAGCGTGGATATTAATCTGAGTTTATTCGTAAGTTTAATGTTATTTAGTCTGTGTGGAATTGTTCGGATGGTTTGCTATTGGCTGATCTCATGTGAGTGACAGGTTATAGCCCCGCCCTCGTCATCAGAGAAGAGAAGAGATGCCGCAAGAGGAAGTTTAGATTGAGAAACATGTGCTGAGGAATAGGCGTTTCGTTTCCAATGTGCATTGTATGCGGTCGACCAATCACGACGGACTGGGCCGTCTGACCAATCAGGCTTTCGGAAAGGCGGGGTTAAGAGAGAGAATCTTCAAACTAAGCCTTTCAGACTGAGAAATGAAGTGATGCTGCAATTGTATTACGTGAACATTAGTGTTTTTTTGTCTTTGATAAGTGTAAACCTGTGGCAGGACTGGAGACTCTAGATCAAAGTTAGCAACCTTTAAAATTATAGCATTATAGGGGAACTTTAATGAACACTGATGTTCTAAATTAGGAGAGATGCCTTACTTGATTGCATAATAATTGCAAAAAAAAATTTTTTCTAATGATAATATACATACATTTATCCCATGATGGAAGATTCTAAACAGTGGCGTAACTTTGTTATAAAAAGTGGGTGGGACATGTGTATAAATGAATGAATCACGTGACACGTGAATAAAACATAGACCCGACTTTACAACATGTCCAGTGGAATAGCCTATGCTATAGGCCTACAGAAAGTCAAAATTAAACGAATAAAGTGACCTAATAATATGAATAAAAATTATATAAACAAAAATATACATAAAAGTAAATTAACTAGGCTATTAGGCCAGAATTATGATGATTTTTTGCGGAACGCGCACGATTAAAATTTAAATTGGCTTATAGCCTATCCATTGTACACACAAACTGCTGTACAATTAAACGAATAAATGGGCCTAATAATATAAATAAAGATAAAAAATAAGTGTATAAACAAAAATGTAAAAAATGAAGGCCTAAACATTTTAAAAGTAAATTTACAAAGTAAATGAACTATTAGGCCAACATTTTGATAACTAAACGTTTGCACAGCGCGCAGAAATAGCCTAATAAAATTATGCTTATCAATTAGGGATGCACCGAAATGAAAATTCTTGGCCGAAACCGAAAACCGAAAAAGAGGAAACCAAGGCCGAAAACCGAAAACCGAAACACCGAAATAAATTATGCCAATTATTAGTATCATTGCATTTATGGCTATGACTGTGTACAAACTTTACTAAAATCAAGGCATTGCAATTGCATAAATTAATATAACATTTTCAAAGAATAAATCAATTACAATATATGCAAATATTTATTTAGCACAATGCACAGTATAAAATAAAATTCAAACTAAAATGTTTAACTTGACCCCACTCATGTGTACACTAAATAATAATCTGATGGCTTGCAGAAAGGTTTTAAAATGAAATGTTCTCTCAAAAACAAAGCCGAGCGCAAACTTCATCACACTAGCACCCAGTTTGCATGTCTAAATTAGTTGCATTTTAAAAATTTTGCATACAATAAAAAGCCTTTTTAAATGAACAATGGTCCATGTTTAATACAAATGTACATGAAACTTAATGAAACATGTTTAGTGAATGTAGAAAATATTTAAGAGAGCATTAATTTAGTTCTATACATACATGTTCCCATTTACATATTTTTTTTTGTAATGTAACAAGCAATAATCTCAGGGTTTACTGGGTTTTACATGATTATTTTTGTATTGGTGGAATACTAAAAAATAAACATGGTCATGTATTTATCTGTCTTCTTCTCATCGATTCCTGATGGTTAGAGGACAGGTACTTGAGTCGTCCCCTGTCGTTTCAAGGAATAGTACAACAAGACGCGCAACGGAGTGCGCGTCAAGTATAAACGCCTCGACCGTTTGGAGCGGTGCACGCGCTGTTTGTGGAGACTCGCGCTGCCTTGTTTACTTTCGCCTGCCTCCACAGCGCGAGTCTTATTTATAATTTCTAATTGTTTCATCCACCTTTATCTGCTCTAAACAATGCGTGCCGCCATGACGACGAATCCGGTTGCGAGCGGGTCAAGAGCGGTGCGCGCGCTGTCTGTGGAGACTCGCGCTGCCTTGTTTATACTTTCGCCTGCCTCCGCAGCGCGAGTCTCCACAGACAGTGCGCGCACCGCTCTTGACCCGCTCGCAACCGGAGTCGTCGTCATGGCGGCGCGCATTGTTTAGAGCAGATATAGGTGGATAAACAAGGTTTCCGTCTCCTCGCGGGTTCAGATACACTGAAATACGTCCACACCGCAGACATGTTGCTTCAGACAAGCACGTGCAGGTCGCGGTTTCTGTTTGCGTCATCACAACATTTCGGCCGTATTGTTTCGGTGATAAAAGTCTTTCGGCCGAAAACCGAAAATGCACTTTTGGGCCATTTTCGGCCGAAAATTTTCGGCGGCCGAATATTCGGTGCATCCCTATTATCAATTGCACAAAAAAATGCTGTAAAATTAAACTAATCAATGGGCTTTATTATAAATAAAAATATACAGGATATAGGCCTACTTTAGGCTACATAAACGTTTTAAAAGTATGCTAAATGAACTATTAGGCCAAAATTCGTATAACTGAACTTTTGCGCAGAGTGCACATTACAATTTAAATGGGATACATTGTCAAACTTTTAGGAAAGAAAGAAAGAAAGAAAGAAAGAAAGAAAGAAAGAAAAAGTTCACCTTCAAGAACACAAGTTTGGACAATGTCTGAGGCTTCAGACTCATGCGGTTGTTGCGGAGAAAACCCTCTCTGCCCTTGCAGACCCGCTTGGGATGCTGAACACAATGCGAGCTAGGCGGGGAAAAGACGTTGAGTCAGACTCGAGTCGTGGTGTGAGCGGAGCGAAATTGGAGCGGGAAATAGGGCGACTCTCCGTCCTTTAAAAAATGCCCCTCTCTGCGCTCTGTCCAAGATCCGCCCGCTCGAGCTCCCCGCTCCACGTCCACTCCGCTCACATGCTCCGAAACGGATTGAAGCGCGCATGTGAAGACTGTGCGTGAGCCACGAGATACACTGTAACCGCGCCACCGATCGCAGGCGGCAAGGAGCACTTTGATCACTTGATTTAAAAAACAACGTATTTCAGGGCTAGATCGCTTCTTTTATTTTACAAACGAACGAAATGACTGGTCTGCCAGTTGGAGATGTTTTATTTATTTCTACTGTTAGCTATTCGTGCCGCGAGAACTTTTAAAAAGTGGTGGGGACAATATCGACCTTGGCAAAAAGTGGTGGGGACATGTCCCACCCGTCCCACCCGCAAATTACGCCCCTGATTCTAAATATGAAGCGCCTGATGGAACCCTGGAAGATTCTATATTGAACCTTTTCTTCTATGTGTGTTAGAGTGTGTGTTAGATTGTGTGTGTGTGTGTTAGAGTGTGTGTGACTATACTGTATGTATGTGTGTATATATATTAGAGGAAGTTTAACCCAGTACACAAACATCAACAACATCTGTATCCTCTTGAGTGCATTAGAGCAGATGTGTGTGTGTGTGTGTGTGTTTGTCCATATGAAAGCGTTGTTCTTTTCCCCTCTTTGTCCATATGATTCTCTCTCTCTCTCTTGCGCGTTTCAGGAAATAACAGGCTCTCTCTCCCCTCCCCCTCGTTGCATTTCCTCCACCCCCTCTCCTCCACCACAGCTGCCAAACCCCCCCCCCACACACACACGTACATACGTCTGGAGTCTGGGTCAGCAGCAGAAGGGTCTCAGTCTCCATTAAAGATCTGAATGCAGGGTTTAGATGCGTTTTGTCTCGGACTCTGAGGGATTCGGGATCTTCACCATATAAGGATCAAACCCAGACGAGCAGGATCTCCTGTGTGTGTATTTGCGCGTACGTGTGTGTTCCCGAGCTCAGGAATGCCAGCGTTTGAAGGCTCGAGGCTTGAGTGGGATCCTGTGACCTCGAGGAGACCATGAGACGTTCCTCCTCGAGTGTGTGTCCATGCCTGTCGTGACGCTCCAGCTCGACGGGTAAGAGTGTTCCTGAGCATCTTCTCAACGCGTGTTCCTTTAGCTACAACTGTCAGACGAGGGGTCGCTGTGTGCTTAGAGAGCCAGAACTGTCAGAGTGTGTGAATAACGTTTCTCAGAGTGTGTATCGTACATGCAGTGCTCAGGTAATGTAGATTTTTGTGATTTATGATCATGTGACGCTGATTTATTTTGTCTTATAAGGGGTTTTAAAATGCTTGATTGCTCTAGTAAAACTGAAGACTATCATCTGAAAGTATTTGCTTTATGCATTATGATATTTGAACGTTTTTAACAATTCAATATGGAAAGACTGAAAAGACTACATATATGTGTGTGTGTGTGTGTATATGAAGAGTTTAGATGCAAAAGCCTCTAAATGCCATTTGAAATTTTCTTCTTTAATGATGATTTTTATCAAACTTGTATATTTAAGTTCAGTAATTTCACTTAAATAACAATTAATAGGTAACTATCATTGCCATTTAAGTGAAATTACTGAACTTAAATATACAAGCTTGATAAAAATGACCATTCTAGAATAAAATTTCAAATGGCACTTAGAGGCTTTTGCATCTGAACTCTTCATATATATATATATATGTGTGTGTGTGTGTCTGTGTGTGTATGTATGTGTGTTGAAGCATCTTTGATTCTATATATTTTTATTTACATGTACATTTTGTTTGTTTGTTTTAGTCATGTTATGTGCTGTTTTTATTTAATATTGCTATTTAGGTGTAAATAATGTTTTTTTTTAGTATTAGTTTTTATTTATGTCCAGGTAGTAATTTTAGTGCTTTAACTCAAACATGGCAAACTAGTTAGGTGGCAATTTCTGTTTACGTTTTTTCCATCTAATATTTATATTTTATTTTATTTCAGTTTTATTTAAATTAACACACTTTTTTCAGGTTGTTTTTTTTTTCCTTATTTTTTTTCAATTTTATTTAATTTTAGTGCTTCAATTCAAACTTATTTCAGTTTGACAAGGCATCTTTTTTATTTTGTTCAAGTTTTTCATTAATATTACTTTATTTAATTTAATTTAATTTATTTATTTAATTGTATCAATTTTTTCTATTTTATTTTATTATTTATTTTTCAGTTTATAATTTTAGTTAGCAATAACCCTTACATAACTAAACCAAATTTTAATTGAGGACAACTACACATTATTAAAGAAGAAAAAAATATTTTCAAAAGTTGAATTTTGCTGCCGATTTATTAAGGAATTGTCGTTCTGATCCAGTGTAGAGTTGGCATCTCTCTCTCTGTAAAGCGTGCTGTGCGTTCTGTGAGTGCCCTCAGTAGTGAATAGTGAAGATCACTTCCACACGAGATCCTCCCAGTGTTCCCACTCTTCTTCTGTTCATGATTCACAGTCGGAGGCGTTTCTCTTTGGCCTTGGATGTGTTTAATTCAGACGAACTGCTCTGTGTGTGTTTTCATCTCTAATCAGGTTTAGGAAGCAAAAGCATTCTAATAATTAACCAGAGGAGCGTCCCGTATCTGTCCCACTCATTCGTGACATTTCTGTCCGTCATAAAGGCTGTTTGTCTGCGAGCTGATCCTTGTTTCAACAGCAGGAGTTCACTATTGTGTGCGCTTTCACCTGTGGCGAACACACTGACGGATGAGCAGGGTCCCTCCCGCCCTTGCTGGTCACCTGACATGTGTGTGTGTGTGTTCAAGGTGCTCTGCGTCTGCAGTGTTTCTCGTTTGGAGGCTGTTTAACCTGTCAAGGCCTGAGCAAATATGCCCCTCCAGCTGACCTTTGACCCCTGACCCCAATCATTCTCTCCAGCCGCCAGCAGAGGGAATTATGTCGAGTGTTATAATGCTGATCAGCAGCCAATCAGGAGAAACTGACAGGATGATTGTGTCATTATGGATTCTTCCAAAAACCTGAGGTGGTTTTTAGGATGGTGTGAGATTTGGATGACATCATCAACCAACTGAACCTGTTCTATCTATCTATCTATCTATCTATCTATCTATCTATCTATCTATCTATCTATCTATCTATCTATCTATCTATCTATCTATCTATCTATCTATCTATCTATCTATCTATCTATCTATCTGTCTATCTGTCTGTCTGTCTGTCTGTCTGTCTGTCTGTCTGTCTGTCTGTCTGTCTGTCTGTCTGTCTGTCTGTCCATCTACAGATTATCTCGGCCAAGGAGAAGTGCTCACTAACAGATTTAGACAGATTTGTCAACAATATTTGAGAGAAATAGGCCTTTTGTGTATATAGAGTTCATGAGAGTTCAGCTCATGAAAAATGGGGGCAAAAACAAAAGTGTTGTGTTTATATATATATATATATAGTTCCCGTTGTGTTCTTGTATGTCGGTACCTGTCAAATTTGCCATAATCATAGTTAATCTTTCATTTGTCTCTATTAAGAAAAGCTTCCCACTGATAGCCCTGAATGATCCCGGGAAAACAGTGAGGAATGCCGGAACACACGAACATGTCTGTTATCTCTCTCTCTCTCTCTCTCTCTCTCTCTCTCTTCTTCAACTCATTACACCCTGTCAGTCATCTTTATTTGGTGAAGGGGGAATATTACTCCTGTCAGAGTCCTGAGGCATCATGGGATAGGGAGATTGTCGAGTGTTTGTGGTGTCAAGTGAGTTTAAGGAGGATTTGTATTTAATGAAAGAGAAGTGTGTTAATAGAGCAGACGTGGATGTGTGTGCAGTGTCACCCGTCTCTGTTCTCTCTCGGTACGCTATCTAGAGGCCACACATACAGCCAAACCAAACATATTCACACACCAGATATCATTTTTGATATTTTTCACTAGTGTGTGCAGGACACTATAGTTCATTAATAAGTGAGGAGAGCAAAATAAAGTAAACTGTGACATATTATACCCAAATATTCTTCATACAGTGAGTACCAGTAAAAATGAGTCCTCCACTTTGAGCTGATGATGTTCTGCTGAAGTGTGTTTTCTGTAATTGCTAATGCTCTATTGCTTGGTCACTGGTTGAGCTAAACTGGTATTATCTAATTGTGGAGTTAAATTTAACAGATATTCAACATAATTCATGTGTGAGAGTCGAACAGAAGAACGGACAAAACCAGTCAAATATCAGCTGAGTTCTGCTCATATTTTACTACCGTTTTCTAAACTATAGCGAATACACTGATAATGTGAGAAGTGTTGAAGGTGTGTGAATAAAGTAAGTTTGACTGTAAGTGCTCTACATAGGCATTAACTTGCACTGGATATTGTCGACGCTTTCGATTACATGCACATAGGGTTGGGTATCGTTTGAATTTGAACGATTCTGATTCCGATTCCTTGTTTCGATTCCGGTTCCTAACGATTCTCGATTCCGATTCTTTTAAGAGGCAGGGTCAAAAAAGTTTAGCTAACCTTGCTAACCAACGGCCTTTCTGAAGGAAATACTCCTTCTGTAAAAATACTCCTTTTGTCACAAATTTAGCATTTTGCCGAGATTTCGTTATTTTTAGAAAAGTGAAGCCACACTTTGGACCGCCGACGTAAGCTACTCATGTTCGACTCGCGCGGTTATGCCAACACTTCCGGTAGACGCTTCTTCGTTGGTGTTGTTCAGCGGTTTCTTCTTCCGCTCGGCGGACTGTGAATATCGAAACTAGGAATCGAAATTTTTACTTTTGAACGATTCCGGGAAAAACTAAAAGTTAGTCGCGGTTCCAATCGATACCCAACCCTACATGCACACACACACGTCGGGTAAAGCAACGCATTTTAATCCATAACCATGGATAGATTCGCTTTTTTTCCACATAGGTTGTTGCATTGCATTCTGGGACATACTGTATAGTATAGCAGGGAATAGTGAAGATCAGTTCCACATGAGGAGATCCTCCCAGTGTTCGCATGATTCACAGTGTGTTTGACCTTGGATGCGTTTAATTCAGACGAACTGCTCTGTGTGTGTTTTCAATTGTGGATTGAGGATGTGATCGTCCCTCTGTTCATAATAGCATGAGCATTTTTAACCTTCTCTAACACCTTTCTTTTCCTCCCTCTTTCCTGTGCAGTTATTACGGTGGTGCACTCTGAGTCCGAAATTTCTACATGTTAAAAAATAAATACAACCGAAACTTAAACTAGATTAAAAAGGTCGTCGAGACTAACTTAAAGTGGGCTTGTGAAAGTTTGGACCAGAAAGTTTAAAGTAGTTCAAAGTCTGATAAACTTGAAAAAAATCTGGAAAAAGTACAAAAGATTTGTTACAGAATAGTTGCGTCTCTCCAGAAAACAAATAAGGTCAAGTTGACTCAACTAAACGTTTTTGTGTGTGTGTGTCACAGTCACAGACAACTTATTTTCAGTTTAACTGTTATTTACTGAAGTTGAGTCAACAAGAAAAAGCTTGAGGAAAGAGATTTTAAAGGGGTGGTAAAGTATGATTTCACTTTTCTAACTTTATTTAGTGTGTAATGTTGCTGTTTGAGCATAAACAATAGGGCTGGGTATTGAGACAAATTTCACAATTCGATTCGATTTCGATTCACAAGCTTGCAATTCGATTCGATTTCGATTACGATTCGATTCAATATCGATTATTTTGGATATTAGTTACAATAAATGCCATTTTTTCTCAAGGGAATCAAATCTCTTAACTAATGCTGTAAACTATAGGAGTCTAGTTGTAGCCTACTAGGCTTCATTAGCCTATATGAAGGTAATAATGAATCACTTAAATTACACTTTTACTTATTTTTATAATAAGAAGATTATATGAAATATAAACATTTAAATGGTGGCTATATATTTAGCAAAATGCTCCTCTCTGTAGTTATTTTTTTCTAGCTGACTAACGAGTTGATGTGGGTTTTCTGAGGTAAATATGACGATACATTGATTACAAGCTGTTTAACTGACGTCTTTCCACGGTTGAAACGCTGATTGAGCGAATCAATGTGACATGATACGGATTTCGATAAGTTGTACTCTATCTTTTAACACACTTGCAGATGCTCATTCATGTTTATTTCGCGCTGTGACTGGTATTATTAAGCCGGAAGAGAGATCTGCGCTGCTGCTTCTCCAGAGCGATCTCACGTCACAGCGCCAAAACCCTATTTATGTTTTTTAATTTCTAAAGAAAATGGACGTAATTTGAAAATTGAGACTTTGCTTCATATCAATAGTAACAAAGGACAAAGATTATTATTATTTTTTTTTTTTTATGCGCGCAGCCGCGATACAATATCCCAGTCATTCAAATGAAACAGGATGAATAATCGATTCTTGAGATTTAAGAATCGATATCGGTTCGTAAAAATGAGAATCGATTAATATCGAGAAATCGATATTTATTACCCAGCCCTAATAAACAACATTATCAAAGTTACAACGCTCTATGTTCAAAGCAACGAAAATAAAGAAATCGTTTTTTAAGGACTACAACAAACGTCTGGTGGGACTACAAAAGCTTCCTCTTGGGTTAGTGACATCACCAACCCTAACATTTACATAAACCCCGCCCCCGGGAACACACAGTCCATGTTGAGGAGAGGAAGAGCTGTTGTATAAGAGTACATTTGTGAGACAGCTCAAACTTTAGCATCCTTCTTTTCACATGCAATAGAAAGTCACTCTGTGTGCATCTCACAACAGTTCCTATAGATTATCCTGACAGAATATGCTAATTGAAGATAGTTAACTCCAACATAAATTCATCAACTAACCATTCAGACTCGTCCTGTTGTATTCTACATGTTGTCACTTCTTCTTAGTCTCTCCATCTTTGTCTAACTCCGGTTTAAACATAAAAGGCAGAACAGTTTCTGTCATTTTAGCGTGCGTCTGCGTGAGGTAATCAGAGCTGCACTCTTGAAGCTCCGCCCACTGTGTCAGGAGCAGGAGCTCATTTGCATTTAAAGGGCCAGACACAAAACGGTGTGTTTTTGCTTACCCTCAAAAAGTGACAACTTTAACATGCTATATAGAAATATCTGTGGGGTATTCTGAGCTAAAACTTCACATACACACTGGCGGCTTCTTGTGATCTTGTGAAAAGGGCATTATATCACCCCTTTAAACAGTGTGGATTTTTGCTGAACCAACACAACAAAATCAGTCATTTCAACTTTCTTCAGGTTGTGTTTTTTTTACGGTTTTAATGAATTGTTCACTATATTTTTATGTGTGCGATTATAAAATATACTATAAAAGCAAAACCTATTAAAAATGTGACTATATTAGACTTATAATAAGTAGTACAATCTTAACAAGATGGGTAAATAGCATGTAAATGAATATGTGTAATATATAAACATGCATATGTGTGTGTAGTTAGATTAGAAACTTGTTTTTAATAGAGCATATGGTCTATTTTGATGATTTCATGTTGACTCTGGATCTGTTCACCGTACGGCATCTTAAGAGCCTTCGCTCTCTGTTTTCTTTCATTGAATGGAGACGAGTAGATCCTCCGAAAGCTTGTTTTTAGTTTGGGATGACACGACTGAGTATAGGATGATTTGTAGATGAACTTTTCTGAAAGCAGCTGCGCTAATACACACACACAAACACACTTGCATACACACACGAACAGAAGCGCTCATGCTCTCAGAGGACGAGCTTCTCCTGCAGACAAAAGCCAGGGTGTGTGTGTGTGTGTGTCTGTGTGTGTGTCTGCACACCTGGAAGAGCTGGACGCGGGCCAGAAACCTCAGGAAATGAGACGGGATGAATTGAGAAGAGTTGAATGACAGATAGAGAGCATTGTGTTGTCAGAAACGACAGTCATTGACACTTTACAGGGTTGCTTCTCATTGCCAGTGCCTTTCTAAACACACACACACACACACACCCCTCTGAAATACCAGGGCTTTCATAACCGGAACAGAAGATGTGTTACGCCCACGTCTGAATGTTTAAAATGTCATCAACAAACCTATAAATCCCAACTTGATGTGACATTTTATACCGTAAGATTATGGTCTTGCACCTTGAGTTTATGTAAGTTAATATTGTATTATTAATAGTGTAGTTTTAGTTGGATATTATATATTTTATGTGTTTACAATTACTAAATATATATGTTTGTTTGTTTGTTTTTATTTTATATTATATTTTAATAGAATATAATGTTTTATTTTATTATAATAAACTATTATATTATAATAATTAAATCAAATTACTTTGGAATCTATTGTAATCTAATAATGAAATATGTTTTTTATTTTGTTATAAAATTATATATTAAATTGAATGATTAAATTATAATATATTAAAATAATAAAAAAGTAAAATATGTGATTTATACACTTTTATGGTTTATTTTCATGTTTTAATTTAAGATTTAGTCATTTCATTTTGTGCTTGTCATTTGTTTTAGTTTTTGATTTTTAAATGTTTCTAGTATTTTTATTTCAGTTTTAGTAATTTTACTACATCAACTTTCACTTTCCAAGGCAACATTTTACAAATTTCATTTAAGTTTAAGCTGTTCATCAAATATTTATTTATATATTTATTATTTATTTTTTTTACCCAAATCTGACATCTAAAACAACATGTTCTGTTCATCATTTCTATTGCATTTATCATAATCCTGTCAGATTTCTGGTAGCTGATGCTGATAGAAACCGTGTGTTACAGTTTAATGAGCACAGATGATCATTCACCCGTATTCTGCACAATATTTACTTCGTTTGTGAAAACACAAAAACATGCATTATTCATTAAAGGACCAAATATCATGCGATCACGAGTCTCTCCTGTAAATCTGTGCCTGCCTAAAGCTAATATTTGTGTGTGTGTGTGTGTGTGTAATGCATTGGTGTGTAAGTGTGGTTTAGCAGTAACCGAGTTGGAGTGTGTGTGTATTCGGGTCTCTCATGTGCTGAGATAAACACAGTTGCTGTGTCCGGGTGTGTAGTTGTGTAGTGCTGGCGTTCACACACTCACACACGCTCTGTTAGTCTCTCTGGATGGAGGATCTTCTCAATCCTGTTAACGCATGTATGCTCAGAAATGTTCTCCTAACATGCAGTCACAGTGTTGTCTGTGGGAATTAAGTCTTGTTTTCGTAATGAGTAAAATGCTCTTTATTAAGGAGTTTTTAGCTAAAGCTAATGTGGCCAGTGAGAAGCTTTCTCAGTGTTGAGTTTGCGTTCATGAATTCAGACAATAATAGTGTTGTTTTAGTGGGATATTATTTATATACTGTTAGTGTTAGAGTATTTTCTAATATGTTTTGAATTACCATTTATTTTTACATTTTCATTTTGTATTTCTTTTAAATATTTTGTTTTTGTGCTTTAATCATTTTAAAAAAATATTTCTATTCAGTTTAACATAGTTATATTCAATTTTAGTAATTTTATTACTTTATACTTATTCATTTCAATTAGTTGCAAAGACAACATTTTCATTTTCAACATTTTTTTTAATATTTTTAGTTTTCAGTTTAATTTCAGTTCAAGTTTAAGTAATGTTTTCTATATAAAAAAATCTATTTAGGTTTATTTTTATTTTTTTTCAGTTTTAGTCATTTTAGTACTTCAACTTATATTTCCTTTAGTTGCCAAACAACATTTCTAATTTTAATTTAAGTTGAAGTTTTTCATATTTTTATTTTTTAAGTTTTATTTGTATTATTCTGTTAATTTCCAAGGCATATTTTATTTTAGTTTATTTTTTGTTAAAAGCCAAGCCATATTTAATTTAATTTTAAATTTTTTATTAAATGTTTTGTTAATTGCCAAGCCATATTTTATTTTATTTTTTATTAATCTTTTTATTTTTATTTTATTTTAATTTTTGTTAATTGCCGAGTCATGTTTTATTTTGTAAATTGCCAGGGCATATTTTATTTTATTTTTTTGTTTAGTTTTATTTTATTTTATGTTAATTACCAAGGCATCATTTATTTTATTTGACAAAAATGATTAGTAACCATTTAAGTTTTAGTTCCGAGACCGAGTCCCCCGGTCTGACGGTGTGTGTCTCCGCAGGTGGGATGCCGTGACTGCGGCGCGTGACTCTGGCGTTGGCGTTGCGTGTCGAGCCGATGGAAACTGCTGCCCCATCATGAGCTGCCATGACGCCGGAGGGCGTCGCCGCTACGAGGACTCGGAGTTCACGCTGCGCGTGTATCCCGGAGCGCTATCCGAGGGCACCATCTACTGCCCCGTCACGGCCCGAAAGGTCACGTCGGCGGCCGAGGTCATCGAGCTGCTAATCGAGCGGCTTCAGCTGGACCGCGCGCGGCTCTATGTGCTCGCCGAGGTCAAGGAGTTCGGCGGGGAGGAATGGATCCTGAATCCGTGCGATTGTCCAGTTCAGCGGATGATGCTATGGCCGCGAATGGCGTTGGAGAACCGCCTCGGCGGCGAGGATTACCGGTTCCTCCTGCGGGAGAAGAACCTCGACGGCTCCATCCATTACGGGAACCTTCAGATGTGGTTGCGCGTGACGGAGGAGCGTAGACGTATGGTGGAGCGTGGGTTTCTCCCGCAGCCTCCCGCGGGACAGTACGTAGCCGACCTCTGCGCGCTCCCGGATCTAAACGAGCAAACTTTGCTCGAGAACCTTCGCGGACGCTTTCGGCAGGAGAAGATTTACACGTACGTCGGCGGGATTCTGATCGTCGTCAATCCCTTCAAGTTCCTGCCCGTTTACAATCCGAAATACGTCAAAATGTACGATAACCATCAGCTGGGGAAGCTGGAGCCGCACATTTACGCGGTGGCGGACGCGGCGTATCACGCGATGCTCCAGAGGAAGAAGAACCAGTGCATCGTGATCTCCGGAGAAAGCGGATCGGGAAAGACTCAGAGCACGAACTTCCTGATCCATCACCTGACGGCGCTCAGCCAGAAGGGCTTCGCTAGCGGCGTAGAGCAGATTATCCTCGGAGCCGGACCTGTTCTGGAGGTAAGGTGGACTTTAATCTTCGTAGTAGTGCTGGGCGGTATACCGGCTCACACCGAATACCGGTGTTTATTTTTGTTATGATATGAATTTTTTAATATACCACAATAGAGACAGAGCGACACGCGTCATAATCTGAAGCCACACCCACACAGCAAAACTTCAATTTTTGTAATATCAACTTCAATTTGGAACATAACTTGGTTAGATATATGGCTTTGATTTTATAGTACTTTATAGTAATAGTAAAAATATTTTGTCAAATATATATTTTATATAAAGAGTTATATATTTATTTATATATATTTTATATTTTATATAGACTTAGGTCTATATTAGGTCATAAGTTTGAATAGTGCATTTTAATATTAAATTCTGTATAAAACAATAGTACAGTTAACATCAAAATTGAACATTTACTATTAAAATGTATGTTTTTTGTATATATGCAGCGTTCTCCCTTTAAATACTTTGGTCATTTCAAAAATAATTTATGGAATTTTATATTATTTATTTGAAAGAAATAAAAGAGCAGTTTCATATCTATTCTTGTTGAAGTTGATATGGGATTTGGGAATTTGTAATAAGTAATGCAATACTTTCTAGAGAGAGTAATTAGTACAGTGATCTAATTACACTGTTGAAGATGTGATTAGTATCTAGTAATGAATCACATTTACTTAGAATAATTTACCCAACACTGTTTTTAATGACCCTACAATTTTGATTAAACCATAAAAATATGAAGATATATATATATATATATATATATGAAGAGTTCAGATGCAAAAGCCTCTAAATGCCATTTGAAATTTTCTTCTTTAATGATGATTTTTTATCAAACTTGTATATTTAAGTTTAGTAATTTCACTTAAATAACAATTAATAGGTAATCCTCTTCGCCATTTAAGTGAAATCACTGAACTTAAATATACAAGCTTGATAAAAATCATCATTAAAGAAGAAAATTTCAAATGGCACTTAGAGGCTTTTGCATCTGAACTCTTCATATATATATAAAGTATATTTGCATGTATATATGCACATTATTATTAAAATAAAATAAAATAAAAATATATTTCAAAATAGCAGCTCAGTTGTGTTTTTCACTACATTAACTAATAATTATTTAATTTCATTTATATGTACCAGTAAAACAGTACATAATAATTTATATTTACATATATATTTTACAAAAGATGTTAAAATTTTAAACTTATAATAAAAAAAATCGAATATTTTTGAGTGACTCAAACAAATGATTGAATTAAAAAAAAAACATTAAATTCAAATTCATTCGAATCAAAATATTGCATAAAAGCATATGTGAAATTCACATTTTCCTATTTTTTTGCCAGTGAAATCCTCACAAACATATTGTGAATATTCAACACCTCTACATCTGATATTTCTAAAAGCCTCTGTGTGCCTGAAGTGTTTGTGCAAGTGTCTCGTCTCGTTGCATTTAAGTGTATTTCTTGTCTTGTCCTGATATTCGACTCGCCCGGTGATCCGTCAAGCGTCTTGTTGAGGTTTTCTCCCTCCTCTGGCGTCGTGGCTCTCTCTCTCTCTCTCTCGTCAGGCCTGAGGCTGATAGTGAGACTCTACCATCGGCTGTGTCGAACACACAGAACCCCTGCGAACACAGCGAAAGTGTCTGAAACCCATGTGTGATTGTTTAGGTGGACTGGTGTGTATTGTGCTGAATGTTCTCTGCTCCAGTGTTTGCTGGGTCCTGGTGTCGAGAGTAAGGACGAGTGTTTATACACCGCTCTCTCTCTCCCAGCAGGAAATAGAAACATTCGCTATTCCTGCAGTTATGACAAGCATTTCTGCACACAGATGGGAACAGTTCTGTTTGTGTTTGTGATGTCACTCAGTCTGAGTGTGTGTGTGTGTGTGTGAGAGAGAGAGCGAGAGAGAGAGTCTGAGTGTGTGTGTGTGAGAGAGAGAGAGAGAGAGTCTGTGTGTGTGTGTGTGTGTGTGTGTGCACTCTAAAAAATGGTGGGTTGTTTTAACCCAATTTTGGGTAAAATATGAACAAACCCATCCATTGGGTTACATTTTTAAATTATATTTTTAACCCAATTGGCTGGGTTTGTCCATATTTTACCCAAAATTGGGTTAAAACAACCCAGCATTTTTTAGAGTGTGTATATGAGAAAGAGTCTGAGTGTGTGGGTGTGAGAGAGAGACCAAAGGCCAATGCTGGCAATACTGTACAAGTCATGCTAATAAAGCTCATTTGAATTGAATTGAGAGAAAGAGAGAGAGTCTGTGTGTGTGTGTGTGTGTGTGTGTGAGAGAGAGAGAGAGGGAGAGTCTGACCATGTAACCATAGCTTTTGGCAAAATGCCATTAATACAACGCTTGCTTTTGCAGCAGTAACTGTATTTCAGTGGTGTGTGTGTGATGTCATCGTTATTACGATGACTAGTTAGTGTGTTCATTTACTCTCTCACGTGTTTTTCTGATGCTGGATAGACCTGACGCGCGCGCTGACATTTCACTCATGAGCGAACAATGTGCCCGTAGACGTTACACACACACACACACACACACACACACAAACCTGACCCCTAAACCAACCCAACACACACACACATAGGTATGCATCTGGCTATGCATTTGCATCTGCATGTGTGTATTAATATATATATTAATATATATATAAGTAAATAAATAAAAATTAGATATAATTAAATCATTTAAAATTTGATTAAAACAAATAATAAAAACTAAATTAAATAAATTAATTAGATAAAGTGTGTATATATATATATATATATGTAAAATAAATAATACAAATCAAATTAAAATTATATTAAACTATAAACTTAGATCATAATAATAGTAAATAACCTATTAATACAAAATATGACTAAAATAAATAATAAAATTAGATTTAATTAAATAGATGACAATAATTAAATAATAAATACACAATACTATAGTAAGTATAAAAAACAATGTACCTTAAAAGAAACTAAATATTTTTTAAATAATATTTAAATATATAGAATATAGTACATCAAATTAATTTAGTATAAACTGGGCCTTTAAACATGAAAAAATATCGATTAAAAAGGAACACGAACATGCGTGAATCTAAACGAGGATCTCAGATCATCATAATGAGACTGACATGACATCATCAGCCTACACTGCATCATGGGACGGATCATTATTCTCATTAATGATGCGGGTGTGTAACCTAAGGTCAGCTTTCAGCAATCGCCTGTGATTCACTAAAAGAATCGATTCTTAAGAGTCACTCTGAATCGTTTGTTCTTTCTGATCACGTATGGAAGACTTGTCCCGTTCCACCCGTGTCAGTGTGTGTGTGTGTGAAGTAATCGACTCGTAGGAGTAATGTAGACATCATACGCTGAGTATTGAACACTTCTTGCGCACACACAAGCAGTTATCGGATGCAAACATGGTGTCTGCGCATATAAATGTGTGTGTGCAGTGTGTGGACACGACCACCATACAATGAGGAAAATCCATTCACTCCTTTTTTTAATACTCAAAAAATATATCCTTATGCTCTGTGTGTGTGTAAGTTTGAGCCATGAAACATCTGACTATATCACGTCGAGTTCGGCATCTTGTGTCTGACGCTAGCGGATGTTGACGTGTGGTCCCTGTGTGTGTGTGTACAAGCCCGTCACCACAGGTCAGCTTCACACTGCTGTAGTGCTGGCGTGTTCTCAGGCTCCTGATGTTTAATGGGTTGAAATGTCCTTTCAAGCCGTAAAGCTTGTTGTGACCCTGTTGTCCCTGAAGACACACACACACACACACACACACACCAGTCTGAGGACATTTGAAGAAGATCCTGGGGGAATTAAACACCTCAGAAACACCGAACACACAGTGTGGAGAACAGAGGACCTGACTGAACCTGAACACTGTAATCTAGTGTTAGATAACACACACTCCCTCTGGCTTTCTGAAGAACATCTCTTATCTGTGTTATCATCTCTGTGTGTGTGTGTGTGTGTGTGAGTGAGAGAGAGAGAGAGTGTGTGTGAGAGTGAGTGAAAGAGAGAGCAAACTGAAAACACAGTGACACAAGGCAGTGAGTCAATATTGCACACTTCAGCAGTAAAAAGCCACACACACACACACACACACACACACACACACTCTGCCTGCGTCCCGCTGTGCTTCTGGAATCAGGCGCTGTATTTGACGAGAGCTTTGGGTGTTCTCATTGTTTTTGCTTCACGGTCACATGAACCTCCACACACACACACACACACACACACACTCAGTGTTTGGTTTCTCACTGCAGCGCAAACATCATCAACACTAACGCTTCATAACCTCCTCTATTTGAAAGCGTTATAACATGCGGTTTTCACTCTCATCGTTGCAGAATCACAACCAATCACGTTAGCCATATATCTGATGCTTAATATTCAGAGCAGTGGACCAATGAGGTCCCCCCGTGGGCGGAGCTAGAGCAGATACTGTGCCGCTGATGTGAAGATATTGATATGAATATCTGCTGCGGGTCTTCAGGGAATCTTGAGTGTGTGATTGAGTTTCATCCGCAGATGACATCAGAGTTTCAGATGATCTGACAAATTACTGCGATTGTGTGTCATCATCATCTGACCACATCTGCCACACACACACACACACATTTATTTTTCATTTATTCTTTAGAATGTTGATTTTTTTTTTATTTTGTACAATGTTTTATAAATCATTTTATATACATTTTTTTTTGTTATTTATTGTTTTTTTTTTTATGTCTATAAGTGCCATCAGGGCAGTGTTTTGTTAGACTGATGTTGTGATCGTCATCTGATCCCGGATCAGTGTAAAGGTCGACTCTGGCCTGTGGGGTTTAAAGAGACACTGATCGTGAGAGAGAGAGAAAGTGTAACCCGTGCTCTGCGGGATCCAGATGTTGGGCTGAGGGAGATGTGCATGTTTTTGTCCTTTAATGTGTGTTTATTCTTTCCTCCTCAGGCTTTTGGAAACGCTAAAACAGCCCATAATAACAACTCCAGCCGCTTCGGCAAGTTCATTCAAGTCAACTACCAGGAGAGCGGGACCGTCCGCGGGTGAGACGCCTCTCTCGGCCTCCAGTCCTGTACAACTGTGTGAACGGAAATACACTATCGTGCAAAAGAGGAGATCATTTTACAATTATTTTGAATGTATATTTTATCTATAGATATACTAATAACTTCTAACTAATAAAAAATGTAAGCACATTTTAAGTGTTTTTCTTTTTCTTTAAATATTTCAATATTTTTTAATTTTTTAAAATATTTTTAATATATCTATATTTTAAACTGTTTTTAATGTATTAATTTTAAATTAAGTAATTTAATATTTAAATATGTCAGTAATATTAACATTTTACTTAAATATTTTTTCTAAATGTATTAATTTGAAAAATGTCATTTGTTTGATATTGATTTTAAATATATATTTATTTTTAATCTATTACTATTTTAACTATTTTTAACTGTATTTTAAATATATTTTTTTAAGTTTGCATATATATTTGTATATTATTTTACTGTATTTTATAATGTAAATATATTTCTAAATATATATTAATTCTTAAAATATTTTAAACTAGATTTTAAATATATATTTTTAATGATATTTAGTTTTAAATGTTAGGGTGAAATAGTCATTTGAATTGGATTTAACTACTTTTATTGATAAATTTCAGGACTGAAGTAATATAGTCTTATAGACACGAACGGCCCTGGACGGGAACGATAACTCGAAATAATATCATGTTGTTTCTGTGTGATGAATATATTTGTATAATAATTTCCCCATTGTTGATTTCAGAGCGTATGTGGAGAAGTATCTTCTGGAGAAGTCCCGTCTGGTGTATCAGGAGCACAACGAGAGGTGCGCAAACCAGATGATGCAAACCTGGGCTTTATTGTTATTATTTAAAGCACATTAAATATGATTGTCATGTTCTCTCGCAGGAACTATCATGTGTTTTACTACCTGCTGGCCGGAGCGAGTGAAGAAGAAAGAAAATCATTTCATCTTCTCAAACCAGAGGAGTATCATTACCTCAACCAGGTACAGACCATAATAGCAGCGGTGCTGCGTCTGTCTTTGTACGTTACGACGTTTCTACAATAGAAAAACATCCTCTAAGCTCATTTCTGCCCATAATCCCTGGCAACACATAGAGCTGGAGGATGCTGAGGCTGTTGCCGGGTGCCCCTGTTGCCATGGTGATAGTCGTCAGCATCCGTATCCGAGGGAACAGACTGCTGGTCGCGTGCAGAAGCCCTCTTATGAATCCAATCTATTCATGCACGCGCTCGCACATGTACAGACACATATACACACACATTTTTGGCATAAATATTTCCAGAAGGAAATCTCATTGTGTGTGTGAGGGTCTACTAAGTGTGTGTGTGTGTGTGTGTGTCATCTGAATTGTCTTTACTAGGAGTGTAAAAACACATCAGACTGACAGTGAACATTCGGCCAGTGAGGACAACACTTCCAGAAAGTTGATGTAGTGCTGAAATATGTTAATCAATGTAATGATAAATAATATGTAGACAAAATATTTCACAATTATTTGATATATTTTGTATATTTATTCAAAGTTCTTATTGTAAATATAATTTAATAACAAAATATTTAGCCGTTTTTCAAAATTACTGTTATTAGTTTTTCAATATATTTAAACTTGTACTTTGTAAAATTTATTTACTCAAAATTAAAAAAAAATATTGGCAGATTTAAAAAAAAAAAAAAAATTAACATAACAAAATGTTATGTCAAATGTACCATATTTTATTGTAAAAAATACATTAATTATTAATTAATTTCATTAATTATCTAGCCATATTTAGTCAGAAATCAAAAGCAAGAGCTGTTGACTGATTTATTTTCCTGGTTTACAGTCGCACGAAACTGTTAGAATAAAACAACTGTTGTTTCAGCATTTCAAACTCAAACTATTATGCAGTTGCATCTTTCTTTACAATAAATGACACTTGGTTTGATATTTTATCTAATGCAGTTGAATGGAAGAAATTATGAGCAGATTCAGTTTAATAACTGAATTATGAGAGAATGAGAGAGAGTGAGCTGGTGAGAGCAAGTGTGTGTGTGAGATTGTGTGTGGGCAAGTGCGCGATAGTGTGTTCAGTAAGTAAGTGAGTGAGTGAGTGTGTGTGTGTTTGTGACAGAGCTCATAATTGTCTGTCTGTCTTCCAGATAACAAAGACAGTCCACAGACAGCACTGGGGAAATTACTATGAGACTGAGCTGGTCAGTATCATGTGTGTGTGTTTGTTCACATCTTCTGTTCTGTGTGTGTGTGTGTGTGTTCTGGGTAAACGACCAAACCTGATTAGCAGTGCTTGATGAAGACAGTCACTTAATATATTAGTCGACACACAGAGAATTGAGTGTGTAGTAAATCAGTTTAACAGCGGCTCTGTTCTGGCACCAGACCTAGTGCTCTCCCTATCTAGTGTGCTCCTTATCTAATGCAATCCCTATCTACTCCATTTCCAACTCGTGTGTTTGTGTTTGTATTCAGTGTTTCTGCTGCTTGTGTTTGTGTTTGACTATCTAGTGCACTCCAATGTAGTCCTTATGTAGTGCACTTCCCTTTTTCTTTTAATTTATTACTTTTTACAAAAAAAGTTTTTTTAATTATGTTACTTTTATTGTGTATATTTATTATATAAATATATATTATATATATATTTATTTTTTCTAATATTTTATCTTATTATTTTTATTTACTTTTCGTTTTTTTTTTACTTATTTTTATTGTTTTTTTTTGTTTACTATATTGTATTTATAGTTTTTATTTTTTTTTACTATTTTATCTAAAATACTAATAATTAATAATATTGTTTTATATTTTTTTTAACATTGTATTTGTTGGGTTTTTTCTTCAAAAAATAAAAATAAAGGAGAAACAATAAAAAATACAAATTGAAAAATTCTTCCGGAGAATTTTTATTTTTTATTGTGATATTTTTTGTTCTGTGGAATTGAGTGAAAGCGTATAATTTCCTGTATCCTTCTGTGCTGTCCACCCACTGAAGCTATATACACACACACACACACACACACACACACGCTGCAGTTGTGCTTCACTGTTTTAAGCTGTTTGTATTCATCATCAGTGCCGAGAGCAGACACTTGTGCTTCTTTTGGTTCACCGGACCGGTGTAAAAGGATGTAAACCGATGTAAACGGGTGTAAACACACGGTTATCTATGATCCAGTCGCTAAAGCCAGAGATGTGAATCATCATTAGTTATTATTGGGGTCAACAGGAAGTCCTGTCCCCCTCACCACATCACTTCCTCTGCACACTTCTGTTTCTGAGCTGCGGCTTTCCTTGCACGCTCTGCTGCTTTTGAACGATTCACATCCTCATTTAAAGCTTATTATTATTATCAGTTGGTGATTAATCCAAAGTGTGTGTGTGTGTGGCGTAGGACTGTTTCGCGGTGGAGGGAGAGGATCTGAAGCATGACTTCGAGAGACTCCAGCTGGCCATGGAGATGGTGGGCTTCCTTCCCGCCACCAGGAAACTGTGAGTTTTAAAACACTCTCTGCCTGCCAGTCACATTCTGCATTCAGATTTGCTGGCTCCTGATTGGCTATAGTCTCTATCTAGTGCACTCCTATCTAGTGCACTCCCTACAGTATGTAGTGCATTATTGGACATTTTTTAATAAACACAGACAAAAAAAACTATATGATGATCTCTGTAACATTGATATGAGTGATCACATGGATTTCGATTTGCATATCGTCCCCTTCCTAAAATAAATGTCTCGGGCGATTATTTTAGGAAGGTGACGATATACACGTCACGTTACATGTCAGTATCCACGATCACTGGATCTGTGACGATTCATAATGAACATTATACATCGAGTGCAAGCTTTAGTTTAAACTGATCATGGTGTGTGTTCAGAGCCGGCTTCAGACCGCTTTTAGCAGGGGGGCATTTATTTTCAATGGGTGGGCACTAGGTAGGTATGGGGACTTTTTTTTCCGATATTAGATATCCTATATTTATTATTGCTACTGCCTTTTCTGTTAGCTATTAACATGAAGTAATGCAACCCACACAATAAACACATAAAACATTACACATTGTTGCAAGACGAGCGACTCTTAAGAAATTTGATCAAGGGTTAAATAGGCCTATACAAAAAAAAAATTGCAAGACCGACTCTGACCACAGCTTATAATAGCAAAGCTAACGAACATGTACACAGTCTCTCACTGACAGAATAGCCGTTTATATGCTATCTCAATGGCGGAAGTGAGAAAAAAAAAAGCTAAGTTACTCATCTTTATTCTGCTATGTTCTAACATAAGCATTTACATTCGTAGCCTTAAAAAAGCATCATGTCGTTACCTTTATCAAATAACACCTTTAACAAATAAAAAACACCCACAACATACGCAGATATTATTCTACAATTTCCATTTACAAGAAAATATAGGCTTAAACACCTGTTTCTCCACGGCGGGAGTGAGTGACATTTCAGGACAATGGGCAGCGCAAAAACTAGGCCAACTAAACTATTAGTTTCATCACGTGACAACACATAGTGAACATTACAGTACATGCCAGTTAGATAAATAGCTACACTTACGACTCGGACTCGACTGTCTTTGGTCTCGGTCTCGACTACAACACTGCACGGTAGAAGCACCAAATACCAAAGCCGGGCTGTCGTTGTCTTGCTGTATGGGGTAATCGATGTGTAAGGAGAAACTGTGGTATTGAACCATTTTATAATTTCCATTTTTGGAGAGTTTTCATCTGTTTCAGCGCCAACTGAAAATCATTTCATTCAAGTATTAACGTGCGTGATTGGGGGGGCGGCAGGGGGGTTTCCTCACAGCGTCACACTGGTTTTTATGTTGGCTTTATTGTATTTTCAGCTAATGAGCCGTTTGTAGACATATATTTGTACTATTTCTCACTGAAATGTGAATTAAATTAAACTGATATTATTTTGTAAATTATATCATAATTCAATTTGGGGGGGCACAAAATACATTTGGGAGGGCATTGCCCCCTAATGCCCCCCCATAGCGCCGGCACTGTGTGTGTTCCTAGTTAACTCCAGTCACCGCAGCTCTTCTGCCACTCTGACCTCGCTGCATATTCTCCATCTATTGTCCGTTTTCTTTCCTTTATTGTGACGTTTGACTCATTCAGAGATGTTTTCTGCAGAATCTTTTCTTTGCTGTCTGCGATCCTTCACCTGGGGAACATCCGCTACAAGAAGAAGACGTACCGAGACGACTCCATCGATATCTGCAACCCGGAGGTGCTGCCCATCGTCTCGGAGCTGCTGGAGGTGCCGTTCTCTTCCGATACTGACTTCTGGGGATTTATTATTTATTTTATTTATTTTTATTTATTTATTTTTATTAACTTGCAATGTTTTGATTAAACTTAGTCTGTTCTAAATTATTTATTATATATATATATATTTCAGTGTTGTAGTACTCGAGACTCGGACTCGTCTCGGACTCGGTCTCGAGACCATATTTTATTGGTCTTGGTCTTGTCATGGACTCGTGTCCATTTGGACTCGAAATTGACTCGTACTCGAACATTTTTTTTTTTAGGACTCGGACTTATTCCCGAGTCCACTCGAGTTCAATTAAAAATATTTTTCATGATTATTAATGTATGTTAATAAAATATTTCTTTAAATTGATTGACACGCCCAGTGATTGGTGCTTTTCTAGTGCACAACTGCGCATGACCAATTGTAATAAAATTACTTTTAACACCACCTACTATGTGGCCTTTTTACCCTAAACTGATTTATTAAACTCTAAGTAAATTCAGTAAAAAAAAAAAAAAAAAAGGATTTCTCTAAGTAAATAAAAGTAAATTAGGTAATCAACCCTCACTGGTCTCGGTCTCGACTCGGACTCGACCGTCTCTGGTCTCGGACTCGACAGGCTCTATGGACTCGGTCTTGACTCGGACTCGACTCTCTCTGGTCTCTGTGTCGACTCGGACTCGAGTGAGGTGGTCTCGACTACAACACTGATATATTTATTATAATTATTTATTTAATATTTATTATAAATTATATATATTTAATAGGGATTTTATATGCGTTCAAGGCTTTTGTAAGGAAACACTTGCATGTAAAGACAAGCAAACATGTCTGTCGTGGGTTTTCCTGAAATTTCCCAGTGTTTATGCTGTACATCACAACATTTTGTTCACATAGTGTCCAAACACAGATTGATTTGCAGAGTAAAGCGCTGTGTTAAAATGTGCAGTTCTTGTGTTTGTTTTGATGCCCAGGTGAAGGAGGAGATGCTTTTCGAGGCTCTGACGACACGCAAGACGGTGACGGTGGGAGAGAGACTGATTGTGCCGTACAAACTGGCTGAGGTGAGACTAGAAACACACTTCAACACACTCCTGAACTCACACACACCTTCTGCAAGACACCTGGATAATGCTGATGTGATCGAGAACGGTGGGCTTTATACTGAGTGTTATAAAATCTTGACTTTTGCTTAAAGTTCGTTTTAATCTCTTCGTGCTTCACACAGACACACACACACACACTCAAACTATCTCTCTGTCTCATCTCACTTTCTCTTGCAGTCTTATTTTACTCCTCAGAGTGTGTGGGTGTGTGTGTGTGTGTGTGTGTGTGAGAGAGAGAGAGAGAGAGAGAGAGAGAGCATGTGAGAGCATGTGAGTGTGTCTGTGTGTGTGTTTATCTCAAAACCCCAGTGGTTCAGAAAACACACACACACACACCTTCCAGTAATATTTTGCGTTTCTCCTCCCCCGTTTCTGAGTGTGTAATCATAAATGTTAAAGTGCTGTAAATAATGAATCATGCAGGGGGTGTTTTATGTAATGTTTCGTCCCTCCTCCAGAATTAGGCTAAAATTAAAACATTAAATCAATAATGCAGGAGTTACTTCTGCAACACTGGGCATGAGGTTGTGTTATATTATGAAGACATTTGCTGTTTGATTCCATAAACCTTTGCCTTGAACGTCCTTGAGTCTGTCAGCAGCCAATCAGCTTCGCTCTATCCCAGCATGCCCGGTGACACGCGCCCCGTTTCTCATTTAGCTTCTCTTACAGGACGTCAGAGCACCTTTCATCGGCGCTGAGTGGGGAGAGAGTTTTATGTGTTTTGGCTTGTGAAGCTTCAATAAGCAGCGTTCTTGGCAGCGTCTGCAGCTTTATGAGCTTCACACATGCTGAAGGAGATTTGTGCACCGCTGCATGTTTATATCAGCTGAGAGACTCTGAGAGACACAGAGAGACTCTGAGAGAGACACAGAGAGACTCTGAGAGACACTGAGAGACTCTGAGAGACATTGAGAGACACTGAGAGACTCTGAGAGACACTGAGAGACACAGAGAGACTCTGAGAGACACTCTGAGAGACACTGAGAGACACTGAGAGACACAGAGAGACTCTGAGAGACACAGAGAGACACAGAGAGACTCTGAGAGACACTGAGAGACACACAGAGAGACTCTGAGAGACACTGAGAGACTCTGAGAGAGACAGCGAGACTCTGAGAGACGATGAGAGACACTGAGAGACTCTGAGAGAGACAGAGAGACTCTGAGAGACACTGAGAGACTCTGAGAGACACTGAGAGACACTGAGAGACACTGAGAGACACTGAGAGACTCTGAGAGACACTGAGAGACACTGAGAGACACAGAGAGACACTGAGAGACACAGAGAGACTCTGAGAGACACTGAGAGACTCTGAGAGACACTGAGAGACTCTGTGAGACTCTGAGAGACACTGAGAGACACTGAGAGACTCTGTGAGACACTGAGAGACTCTGAGAGACACTGAGAGACACTAAGAGACTCTGAGAGACACAGAGAGACACTGAGAGACACTGAGAGACTCTCTGAGACACTGAGAGACACTGAGAGACTCTGTGAGACACTGAGAGACTCTGAGAGACACTGAGAGAGACAGAGAGACACTGAGAGAGACAGAGAGACACTGAGAGACACTGAGAGACACTGAGAGACTCTGAGAGACACTGAGAGACACTGAGAGACTCTGAGAGAGACAGAGAGACACTGAGAGACTCTGAGAGACATTGAGAGACACTGAGAGACTCTGAGAGAGACAGAGAGACACTGAGAGACTCTGAGAGACACTGAGAGACACTGAGAGAGACTGAGAGACACTGAGAGACTCTGAGAGACTCTGAGAGAGACAGAGAGACACTGAGAGACTCTGAGAGACATTGAGAGACACTGAGAGACTCTGAGAGAGACAGAGAGACAGAGAGACACTGAGAGACTCTGAGAGACACTGAGAGACTCTGAGAGACATTGAGAGACACTGAGAGACTCTGAGAGAGACAGAGAGACACTGAGAGACTCTGAGAGACACTGAGAGAGTCTGAGAGAGACAGAGAGACACTGAGAGACATTGAGAGACTCTGAGAGAGACAGAGAGACACTGAGAGACTCTGAGAGACACTGAGAGACACTGAGAGAGACTGAGAGACACTGAGAGACTCTGAGAGACTCTGAGAGAGACAGAGAGACACTGAGAGACTCTGAGAGACATTGAGAGACACTGAGAGACTCTGAGAGAGACAGAGAGACACTGAGAGACTCTGAGAGACACTGAGAGACTCTGAGAGACATTGAGAGACACTGAGAGACTCTGAGAGAGACAGAGAGACACTGAGAGACTCTGAGAGACATTGAGAGACACTGAGAGACACTGAGAGAGACAGAGAGACTCTGAGAGACACTCTTCAGATGTGTGATGTACAGTAGAGATTGTGTCACAGTAGTGTTCATGTTGCTGGTGTCTGACACGTGTGTGTGTGTGTGTGTGTGTGCACTCTGCAGGCAGGGACGGTGAGGGACTCGATGGCCAAGTCTCTGTACGGCGCTCTGTTCGACTGGATCGTCTTCCGCACCAATCACGCGCTGCTCTACAACAAAGACCTGGAGGATTCGGCCAAGGTACACACACACACACACACACGACTACTGCTGTTTCCTGATCTTCACAAATCATCACCGCTGCTTCATACTTAAGTATTTTATGTAATATGCTGTATGAAATGTAGCTCATAACATACACTACCAGTCAAAAGTTTTGGATCTGTAAGATTTTTAACATTTTTAAGAAATCTCTTCTGCTCACCAAGATTTTAAATAGATTAAAAAAACAGTAACATTGTGAAATATTATGACAATTTCTAATATATTTAAAAATGTAATTTATTCCTGTGATCAAAGCTGAATTTTCAGCATCATTACTCCAGTCTTCAGTGTCACATGACCCTTCAGAAATCACTCTAATATGATGATTTGATGATCAAGAAACATTTATGATTATTATTAGTGTTGAAAACATTTGTGAACAATTTTGTTCTTGGGATTCTTTGATGAATAGAAAGTTCAAAAGAACAGCGTCTATCTGAAATAGAATCGTTTGTACCATAATAAATGTCACTTTTGATCAATTTAACTAATAAAAGTATTGATTTCTTTGATTTATTTCCACCTAAGAAATAAAATAAAAATTCTTACTGACCCCAAACTTTCGAACGGTAGTGTTTGATGTGACAAAAGCTTCTATTCCAGATAAATGTTTCAATTCATCAAAGAATCCTGAAATCAAAATTAAATAACTGTTTTCAAAACAATCATCATGTTATTAGTGATTTCTGAAGGATCACTTTCTCAAGTCCTGAAAGTGATTGTGGTGACGTGATCCGACATCATGTTCCCGGTTCTCCTGCCGACGTAGTTCTGGTCCTGATCACTGGTGTTGATGTGAAACGTGTCTGGTTTCAGATCCTGTCCATCGGCGTGCTGGACATCTTCGGCTTCGAGGACTACGAGAACAACAGCTTCGAGCAGTTCTGCATCAACTTCGCCAATGAGACGCTGCAGCATTACTTCAACCAGCACATCTTCAAACTGGAGCAGGTAAATCATGGCTCCTGTTCTCCACTGAGTGACACGGACGGCGATCATTACTGGTGTTTGCTTTAATACACTTCGTCAAACTGGAGTCTGGTGATACAAGCGGTGCTGCAGATCTAAATGCGGACTCAACTTTGAGGAGAGCGAGATTTTGGTTTGTTCTTTGAGTATAAAGCAATAGTTCATACAAAAAAGTGAAAATTATTTTTCTGTGAACTACTCTTAAACATTTTTTTTCTTTCAAGTATTTAGTTTAGTTTAATTACGGTCTAAACTCTTATATTATTCATTGCATTTGAGTAGTCAGATTGTGGCCTTATGTTTGATGTTATGAAATGAAATGTTTGATTATATTACAGTGAAAATAAGTTGATCATGTGATGGGAGAGAGTTGGTCATGTGATTTCTCTCAGGAGGAGTATCGGTCCGAGGGCATCAGCTGGCACATGATCGAGTACATCGACAACACGGCCTGCATTAACCTCATCAGTAAGAAGCCCACGGCGCTGTTTCACCTGCTGGACGAAGAGTGCAAGTGCGTCTCAACCACATTATAACCCTGGACCACAAAACCAGTCACAAGGGGCAATGTTTTTTTTTTTTACATCACACGAAAGCTGAGTAAATAAGCTTTTCATTGATGTATGATTTGTTAGGATAGGACAATATTTGGTCGAGGTGCAACTATTGAAAAGGTGCAAAAAAATCAAAACATTGAGAAAATCTCCTTTAAAGTTGTGCTTTTTTATGTTCATGCTTTTGATGCTTCCACTCACAAAAATTTTACAAAATATCTTCATGATCTTTACTTAATATCCTAATGATTTCTGGCATAAAATAATTTTTTGACCCATACAATGTATAGTTGGCTATTGCCTCAGATACATCCGTGCGACTTGATACTGGGTTTGTGATCCAGGGTCACATTTGACTCATATCACATCATATATTGGAAACATTATCATTTTATGTTATCATAAACATAAATGTTTATTTCATCAGGAATGAATGAGAGTTGTTGTTGGTTTGCAGTTTTCCGCAGGCATCTAATCAGACTCTGCTGGACAAGTTTAAGCGTCAGCACGAGGGAAGCGTCTTCATCGAGTTCCCGGCCGTCATGGAGCCGGCGTTCATCATTCGCCACTACGCCGGCAAGGTCAAATACAGCGTCAAGGTCAGAACCTGCGTTTCACAGAGTCATACCTGCTTTCTGCCGTAGAATGAACTTTTATCTCACAACTCTGACTTTTTTTCTCTCAATTGCGAGTTTATATATCTCAATTCTGAGAAAAAAGTCAGAATTGTGACTATAAAGTCCGAATTGCAATATAAAAAAAGTCAGATTTGTCAGAATTGTGACTATAAAGTCAGAATTGCAATATAGAAATAGTCAGAATTGTGGCTATAAAGTCTGAATTGCAATATAGAAATAGTCAGAATTGTGGCTATAAAGTTCGAATTGCAATATAGAAATAGTCAGAATTGTGACTAAGTCCGAATTGCAATATAGAAATAGTCAGAATTGTGGCTATAAAGTCTGAATTGCAATATAGAAATAGTCAGAATTGTGGCTATAAAGTCTGAATTGCAATATAAAAATAGTCTGAATTGTGACTATAAAGTCCGAATTGCAATATAGAAATAGTCAGAATTGTGGCTATAAAGTCTGATTTGCAAAATAGAAATAGTCAGAATTGTGACTATAAAGTCCAAATTGCAATATAAAAATAGTCTGAATTGTGACTATAAAGTCCGAATTGCAATATAGAAATAGTCAGAATTTTGGCTAAAGTCTGAATTGCAATATAGAAATAGTCAGAATTGTGGCTATAAAGTCTGAATTGCAATATAGAAATAGTCAGAATTTTGGCTATAAAGTCTGAATTGCAATATAGAAATAGTCAGAATTGTGGCTATAAAGTCAGAATAGCAATATAAAAATAGTCTGAATTGTGACTATAAAGTCCGAATTGCAATATAGAAATAGTCAGAATTTTGGCTAAAGTCCGAATTGCAATATAGAAATAGTCAGAATTTTGGCTATAAAGTCCGAATTGCAATATAGAAATAGTCAGAATTGTGGCTATAAAGTCAGAATAGCAATATAAAAATAGTCAGAATTGTGGCTATAAAGTCAGAATAGCAATATAAAAATAGTCTGAATTGTGACTATAAAGTCCGAATTGCAATATAGAAATAGTCAGAATTTTGGCTAAAGTCCGAATTGCAATATAGAAATAGTCAGAATTGTGGCTATAAAGTCTGAATTGCAATATAGAAATAGTCAGAATTTTGGCTATAAAGTCCGAATTGCAATATAGAAATAGTCAGAATTGTGGCTATAAAGTCAGAATAGCAATATAAAAATAGTCAGAATTGTGATTATAAATTCTGAATTTTGATATAAGAAGAGTCAGAATTGTAAGTTTACATTTGACTTTTGTCTCAGAATCGTGAGATGTAAACTTGCAATTACATTTTTTCTTAATCTGTGGCAGAAACAAGCTTCAATATGTGTGTGTTTGAGAGAAAGAGAGATTAAGTAGTAAGCATTTGCATATGTATGTATGTACACACACACACACCACTTCCAGTGACCTAATTCTTCGATTTAATCTGATTGGTTGGATTGGCCCCTCGGCTACGAGTGTATCTGGAGCACATGTTTGGCAGAGAGGGTTAAATCTACACGCCACACACACACACACAAAACTGTTGTCTGTATGTTTATATTAATAGTGTTCACTGGAGAGTGTTTCCAGCAGATGCGACATCAGTGTTGGTCACGAGAACAGCTGCTTCACATCAAACATCTTTACAATTTTTATTAATATTTTGAATTAGTATTTTTGTATATTTTCCATTATCATTTAAATTTTAAGTTAAAAAAAGTATTTTTTGTGTGTAATGCCTATATAGATTCTATAATTCTTTTTGTTTTAGCAATTAAACAAAATTAAATAAGATGTTGCCTTGACACCTAACAAATAAAAAAAAGATTGTTTTGTTTTATTATATTTTAATTTATTTTCAAATAACAAAAATGCTTTTTTTATAGGTTTAGTTATAGTTACCTAATAACCCTGTACAAGTAAACTAATCTGACTATTTTGCAGTATTCATGATAAAAATGGTGAAAAACAAAAAAACCCAGCAAGCAATTTTACGTGTAAAAGACGTCTAAAAGACGTCCGAACACACTCCTGATGACGTCTAGACTAAAACGAGGTGAAACATGTACCAAATTGTTGTTCAGTCACATGATGGCTATTGCATGCTGGGAATTGGAAATTATCATAAAAATACACTTTTTATAGTGTTTATATACAGGTGAAACTCGAACAATTACAATATTGTGCAAACGTTCACCATGTTTGTAAATGTCTAGTTGCCCCTGAAATAAAGAAAGTCATATATCTGAAGTTTAATAAAGGGAAATCAACAGGAACATATTTTTTTTTTTTTTTTGCACAGCAAAGGTCAAAGCAAAATTAGCAGCTTCATAAAATGGTTCATATTTCCAGTTCCTGAATAAATGTCGATTAGTGAGAATGTAGAAATGAAATTCTGAGAGATTATATTCATTCTGACCCCTGAGATCAAGAAAAGGAAGCAAAACCCGATATTAGACAAACAGAAATAAAATAAAATTATAAGGCAGGCAACAAATACAAATTTTTAACACCACGGCATAATTTACAGATGATTGGAATGATAAACATTATGAAACACTTTACACACGTTCAGTGTAAAATAAGACGTCACATTACACTGTTATTGCTGCAAATTTCGAAAAATAAAAATCATATGAATAATTAAAAAACAATAAAATAAAATGAAATTAATTATTGCACCATTAAGGCATTATTTCTATTCTGGAACTGTTAAGTTTAGTGCAACTTAATGCCTTTAACACACATGCTGTATTTTAGCCAGTGAAGGAGTGAACGTGACATCATCACACAGTTATTGTGACAAATTCAATAAAGCCCAGATTATTAAAAAAAATATTTTGAAAAAAGAAAATATGAACCATAATTTATCGATGGCTGCTTGCATCAGACGATCAGCCAAAAAACAACGTTTTACTTTTCGTTAAAAAATGATTGCACCACTAAGGCACTATTTATTTATACTGTGGGATTTATATTGAGTTTAGTGCACGATTAATACGCTAACCGTTGCGTTGTTTTGTGCTAATATAATTAATATAATATATGATCTAATGTACCGTAATTTATGAAGATGATTCGCCAAAAAACGTAATTTTCTGTTATAAAACCACAGGTAAAACTAAAGAAATTAGAATATGGTGCAAAAGTTCATTTCGGTAATTCAACTTAAAAGCTGAAACTAATACATCATATAGACTCATTACATGCAAAGCGAGATATTTCAAGCCTTTATTTGTTATAATTTTGATGATTAAACGGCTTATGAAAACCTTATAACAATATTCTCATTTGTGGAGTCTCCCATATGTTGACCGTCATCATGAAGCTGACCTGTGATATGTTTGTCGCGCAGGACTTTCGTGAGAAGAACACGGATCACATGCGTCCGGATATCGTGGCTCTGCTGAAGAGCAGCCGAAACGCGCTCGTCTGTGGCTTGATGGGCCTCGACCCCGTGGCCACCTTCAGATGGGCCGTGATTCGGGCCTTCTTCCGCGCGCTCGTCGCCTTCCGGGAGTCCGGGACACGGCACACGGAGAAGAGGACGAGCACCGGTGAGTTACAGCACACCTACTTTACTCAGATTCAACATTTCTCACATTATCAGTGTATTCGCTATAGTTTATAAAATGGTACTAAAATACGAGCAGAACTCAGTGGATATTTGACTGGTTTTGTCCGTCCTTCTGTTCGACTCTCACACATGAATTATGTTGAATATCTAACTACACAATTAGATAATACCAGTTTAGCTCAACCAGTGACCAAGCAATGCTTCATGTTGTTCAGAGCATTAGCACTTACAGAAAACACACTTCAGCAGAACATCATCAGCTCAAAGTGGAGGAATAATATTTAGTCCCAAATTTTATACTGGTATGAAGAATATTTGTGTATAATATGTCACAGTTTACTTTATTTTGCTCTCCACACTTTCATAAATGAACTATAGTGTCCTGCACACACTAGTGAAAAATATCAAAAATGATATCTGAGTCTGAATGACCTTTGGTTTGACTGTCTCTCTCTCCCCCTCCCCTCAGGTTCTGATGGTCCAGTTCAGACTCAGAAGAGTGTGGACAGCTTCAGCTTCCTCCATCACCCTGTTCACCAGCGGAGCCTTGAGATCCTGCAGCGCTGCAAAGACGACAGATACAGTGAGACAACCCGCACGCTTCAACCCCGGCTTTATAACCAAAACTAGAACTAAAACCAAGAGCAGCATCAGCATGATCTGACTCATGAAATGTTCACAGCTCTGTGTGTTTGTGTCTCTCGCTCTCATTATTTTTTAATGTCGGTTGTTTAATTTAGTTTTAAGCTAAGCAAAATTGCCTATTTATATAAGTAGGAAACAGAATTTTAAACAAAAAAATTGGACACATTATTTTTTACAAATATTGATTGATTTTGCTTATTACAAGTGTATGGATGATCTGATCACTTTCGAAGGTATTGGGTGTTGCAATGAGGCGTTCTGCTCTGTGTTTGAAAGCGATTGGGTTTTTGCATATTTCACATATGGAGTTTCTCTTTATATTTATGCAATATGCATATTGTAGTTTAAATATACTGTGAAATGTATTCTCTCTCTCTCATGATGGACAGATTCGTGTATCAGCAGGAGGAGTCCACGGACGCCACTGTCGGACCTGCAGGGCTCAAACACTCTCGGCCAGAAACTATCCAGGTACGGCAGCCCAGAGGGGACAGAAAACACTACTTCCTGTCAGCTTGAACCCCTTTGTATGGATGCCCTGAACCGCAGTAAAAAAAAAAAAAAAAATCTTAAAAAAAAAACAAACAAAATCCAGCATTTCGAGATTAAAGTCGAAACGTTTTCGAGATTAAAGTCGAAACGTTTTCGAGATTAAAGTCGAAGCGTTTTCGAGATTAAAGTCAAAGCGTTTTCGAGATTAAAGTCGAAACGTTTTCGAGATTAAATTCGAAGCGTTTTCGAGATTAAAGTCAAAGCGTTTTCGAGATTAAAGTCGAAACGTTTTCGAGATTAAATTCGAAGCGTTTTCGAGATTAAAGTCGATGCGTTTTCAAGATTAAAGTCGAAACGTTTCCGAGAATAAAGTCGAAGCGTTTTCGAGGTTAAAGTCGAAGCGTTTTCGAGATTAAAGTCGGAACGTTTTCGAGATTAAAGTCGGAGCGTTTTCGAGATTAAAGTCGAAGCGTTTTCGAGATTAAAGTCGAAGCGTTTTCGAGATTAAAGTCGAAGCGTTTTCGAGATTAAAGTCGAAGCGTTTTCGAGATTAAAGTCGGAACGTTTTCGAGATTAAAGTCGAAGCGTTTTCGAGATTAAAGTCGAAGCGTTTTCGAGATTAAAGTCGAAACGTTTTCGAGATTAAATTCGAAGCGTTTTCGAGATTAAAGTCGATGCGTTTTCGAGATTAAAGTCGGAACGTTTTCGAGATTAAAGTCGGAACGTTTTCGAGATTAAAGTCGGAGCGTTTTCGAGATTAAAGTCGAAGCGTTTTCGAGATTAAAGTCGAAGCGTTTTCGAGATTAAAGTCGAAGCGTTTTCGAGATTAAAGTCGATGCGTTTTCGAGATTAAAGTCGAAACGTTTCCGAGATTAAAGTCGGAGCGTTTTCGAGATTAAAAAACAGTTGTTAAATATTATAATTTTAATGCTTCAATTAATTATCAGGATTTCATCAATCTAGTGAATTAATGAAGCATTTCCTGCAGACATATACAGTATGTGACTGTTTTGTGTGAAAAGCAAAAGTTTTTTCCACACATCAGTCATGTGTGTGTGTGTGTGATTAGGGACTGTGGCTTTCGAGGCTCGAGGTCTTCGTTCTCCTCTCCCGACGAGGAGGGGATCTTCGTGAACACTGTGAACAACAAGCTCTTGGAGCGAGCGCAGGGAATCCTGATGTGAGTAACAACAGCCATCGCTTCCTCTGCTTCATATTCTCTCGGCCTCACGCTCTCTCTCTTTCCTGAAGGCGAAACAAGAACTACAAGACGAAGCCCAGCCTCCCGAAGGTAAACGCCACACTCTCGCATTGATGCTTAATGTGTGACACGATGCAGTTTCTATTATATTATATTAGTAAGGTTGTAAACACAGCAGCAGTTTATGTATTTCTCTTGTGTGTATTTGAGCGTCAACATTTACGTACGTTTGTTCTTTCCACATCGATAATGGCAGAACCTCAGAAGATCATCTCTTTAATATTCACCCACTTCTTTATGATGGAATTGATACAGCCACTGTAATTTCTTGAACAATAACATGTGGACATCATTATACATTTTGATACAGAATTTTCAAAGAGATGTGTCTTTAATCAAGCTTTGAACTGTCAGAGTGTGTCTGCTTCCCGGACAATGGTAGGAAGATTGTTCCAGAGTTTTGGTGCTAAACAGGAAAAGCATCTCACACCAGCATTCGATTTTGATATTCTAGGTATTATCAACTGGCCAGAACTTTAAGATCGCAATAGACGTTGAAGGACTATTCACTACTCGCTCAAGTACTGCGGAGTTAACCCATTCGACAGAACCGGGCTAATTTGGTCATTTTTAACTAGCTGGAGTTTGTTTGTTAAGCGTGCAGGACGACCACCCAGTAGAGCATTACAATAATCTAGCCTTGAGGTCATCGTATTTACCTATAAGGTGAATATTGTATCTATCACATAGTTGACTGTATTTGACTTGACTGAGGTTTGTTGTGTGTTTAGCACCTGCTGGACGTGAAATCGCTGAAGTATCTGAGCTGTCTGACACTTCACGACCGCATAACCAAATCACTCCTGCACCTGCACAAGAAGAAGAAGCCGCCCAGCATCAGCGCGCAGTTCAATGTGAGCATTTTTATTTTGTTTCAACACAAACAAATAAGGTACATTATCAAAACTCTGTATGTAACCGCAATTGTTCAGCGTGAGCATCTGACTCCTTGTTGTGTCAGAATTGAAACACAGTCTTGTGTTCGTGATGCAGGTTTCTCTGAACAAGCTGATGGAGACGCTGGGACAGTCCGAGCCGTACTTCGTGAAGTGCATCCGGTCTAATGCAGAAAAGGTAGATTATGCGTCCTGTTTCTGTCACGGCATCGCTAGATTTAGATGCGCGGTTTGATTAGCGTCGTTGTTTCGTAGCTTCCTCTGCGTTTCAACGACGCGCTGGTGTTGAGACAGCTGAGATACACTGGGATGCTGGAGACCGTGAGGATTCGGCAGTCTGGATACAGCGTCAAGTACAGCTTTCAGGTGAGAAAACTCTATTCAACACATGCGTCAAGTCAGCAAAACTCATCAGTTACACAGAAAACAGTGATTCAGTTCAATTTAATTCAGTTCAATAACAGTGTCGATGTTGGAACAAATTCAAGTTCAATGTTTTTTCAGTTCAGTTCAATAACAGTCAATGTTGCAAAGTTCAATTATGAAACAAATTGAATTCAGTTAAATGTTTTTGCAATTCTGTTCAAAATGACAGTCAGTGTTGGACAGTTCGTCAATTATGAAAGAGATTCAATTTAGCCCAATGTTGATTTAATTCAGTTCAATAACAGTGTCGTTGTTGGAACAAATTCAAGTTCAATGTTTTTTCAGTTCAGTACAATAACAGTCAATGTTGCAAAGTTCAATTATGAAACAAATTAAATTCAGTTTAATGTTTTTGCAATTCTGTTCAATAACAATCAGTGTTGGACAGTTCGTCAATTATGAAAGAAATTCAATTTAGCCCAATGTTGATTTAATTCGGTTCAATAATAGTGTCAATGTTGGAACAAATTCAAGTTCAATGTTTATTCAGTTCAGTACAATAACAGTCAATGTTGCAAAGTTCAATTATGAAACAAATTAAATTCAGTTAAATGTTTTTGCAATTCTGTTCAAAATAACAGTCAGTTTTGGACAGTTCGTCAATTATGAAAGAAATTAAATTTAGCCCAATGTTGATTTAATTCAGTTCAATAACGGCGCCAATATCGCAAATTTCATCAATTATGAAACAAATTCAATTCAGCTCAATGTTGATTTAATTTAGTACAATAACAGTCAATGTTGCAAAGTTCAATTATGAAACAAATTTAATTCAGTTCAAGATTAATTCAATAACATTCAATGTTGCAAAGTTCCTCAATTATGAAACCAATTCAGTTTCACAACAGTCAATTTTGCAAAGTGCGTCAATTATGAAAGAAATTCAATTCAGCTCAATGTTGATTTAATTCAGTACAATAACAGTCAATGTTGCAAAGTTCAATTATGAAACAAATTAAATTCAGTTAAATGTTTTTGCAATTCTGTTCAAAATAACAGTCAGTTTTGGACAGTTCGTCAATTATGAAAGAAATTCAATTTAGCCCAATGTTGATTTAATTCAGTTCAATAATAGTGTCAATGTTGGAACAAATTCAAGTTCAATGTTTTTTCAGTTCAGTACAATAACAGTCAATGTTGCAAAGTTCAATTATGAAACAAATTAAATTCAGTTTAATGTTTTTGCAATTCTGTTCAATAACAATCAGTGTTGGACAGTTCGTCAATTATGAAAGAAATTCAATTTAGCCCAATGTTGATTTAATTCAGTTCAATAATAGTGTCAATGTTGGAACAAATTCAAGTTCAATGTTTATTCAGTTCAGTTCAATAACAGTCAATGTTGCAAAGTTCAATTATGAAACAAATTAAATTCAGTTAAATGTTTTTGCAATTCTGTTCAAAATAACAGTCAGTTTTGGACAGTTCGTTAATTATGAAAGAAATTCAATTTAGCCCAATGTTGATTTAATTCAGTTCAATAATGGCGTCAATATCGCAAATTTCATCAATTATGAAACAAATTCAGTTCAGCTCAATGTTGATTTAATTCAGTACAATAACAGTCAATGTTGCAAAGTTCAATTATGAAACAAATTTAATTCAGTCAAGATTAATTCAATAACATTCAATGTTGCAAAGTTCATCAATTATGAAACCAATTCAGTTTCACAACAGTCAATTTTGCAAAGTGCGTCAATTATGAAAGAAATTCAATTCAGCTCAATGTTTATTTAATTCAGTACAATAACAGTCAATGTTGCAAAGTTCAATTATGAAACAAATTAAATTCAGTTAAATGTTTTTGCAATTCTGTTCAAAATAACAGTCAGTTTTGGACAGTTCGTCAATTATGAAAGAAATTAAATTTAGCCCAATGTTGATTTAATTTAGTTCAATAACAGTGTCGTTGTTGGAACAAATTCAAGTTCAATGTTTTTTCAGTTCAGTACAATAACAGTCAATGTTGCAAAGTTCAATTATGAAACAAATTGAATTCAGTTAAATGTTTTTGCAATTCTGTTCAAAATGACAGTCAGTGTTGGACAGTTCGTCAATTATGAAAGAAATTCAATTTAGCCCAATGTTGATTTAATTCAGTTCAATAACAGTGTCGTTGTTGGAACAAATTCAAGTTCAATGTTTTTTCAGTTCAGTACAATAACAGTCAATGTTGCAAAGTTCAATTATGAAACAAATTAAATTCAGTTTAATGTTTTTACAATTCTGTTCAAAATAACAATCAGTGTTGGACAGTTCGGCAATTATGAAAGAAATTCAATTTAGCCCAATGTTGATTTAATTCAGTTCAATAATAGTGTCAATGTTGGAACAAATTCAAGTTCAATGTTTTTTCAGTTCAGTACAATAACAGTCAATGTTGCAAAGTTCAATTATGAAACAAATTAAATTCAGTTTAATGTTTTTGCAATTCTGTTCAAAATAACAGTCAGTGTTGGACAGTTCGTCAATTATGAAAGAAATTAAATTTAGCCCAATGTTGATTTAATTCAGTTCAATAACGGCGCCAATATCGCAAATTTCATCAATTATGAAACAAATTCAATTCAGCTCAATGTTGATTTAATTTAGTACAATAACAGTCAATGTTGCAAAGTTCAATTATGAAACAAATTTAATTCAGTTCAAGATTAATTCAATAACATTCAATGTTGCAAAGTTCCTCAATTATGAAACCAATTCAGTTTCACAACAGTCAATTTTGCAAAGTGCGTCAATTATGAAAGAAATTAAATTCAGCTCAATGTTTATTTAATTCAGTACAATAACAGTCAATGTTGCAAAGTTTATTTATGAAACAAATTTAATTCAGCTCAATGTTGATTCAGTTCAATAAGTGTCAATGTTGCAAAGTTAATCAATTCTAAAACAAATTCAATTCAGTTTAATGTTAATTCAGTTCATTTTAATAACAGTGTCAATGTTGCAAATTTCATCAATTATGAAACAAATTCAATTCAGTTTAATGTTAATTCAGTTCACTTCAATAACACAGTCAATGTTGCAAAGTTCATCAATTATGAAACAAATTCAATTCAGTTTAATGTTAATTCAGTTCAGTTCAATAAGTGTCAATGTTGCAAAGTTAATCAATTATGAAACAAATTCAATTCAGTTTAATGTTAATTAAGTTCAGTTCGATAACCGTGTCAATATTGCAAATTTCATCAATTATGAAACAATCAATAATTAAAATTTTAATTCAGTTCAGTTCAAGAACAGTCAATGTTGCAAAGTTAATTAATTATGAAACAAATTCAAATCAGTTCCATTTGATTAAATTCAGTCCAAAAACTGTATTGATGTTGCACAGTTTGTAAATTAGGAAATAAATATGATTCATCTGTAAAGCATCTCTACAGAAGACTTTAGTTTCGTTATCCAGATCAGGGTTTTGTCAGTGCAGTTGAACCGCTAATATTTATGAATTATTACGTGTTAAATATTAATATTACGTGTCGCACTCACGGAGCTGGTTGTGTGTCTCTTCAGGATTTTGCTCATCATTTCCACGTGCTTTTACCCGCTGGATTTCCCGGCACTCAGTCGGCCATCAGACAGTTCCTGCAGAATGCAGAGCTCGAGCCCGACGGGTATCAAGTGGGCAGAAACATGGTAACAAACACATTCCTACAGACCCTTTATGTGCCAACATCATGGTTGCATCCCAGCGTTAGGTGGAGGCAAAACTGGAGGCGGCCAATACAAACCAGAACAGATTCGACTACATAAGGAGCTTCAAATATCATTTTGTTGTGTTGTTGGGTGCCAGAATCGACAGAGTACATGCTTTAATTAGAAATGTTATCAGATCATGTTTTCTAAACTATTGTGATTATTTTTTTAATCATCTATGATTGTATTCATTGTTGCAACTAGACGAACCTGGTAAGAAAGAATAATCAAATATAGAAAAAATATTAAAAAATATTTCTGGAAAATATTCACAGATGGCGAGGAAAAACTTTAAATATTAAGATAAAATCGGATTTCTTTGTTAATGAGCTAACTAGCGTTAGTGAAGCGGCCAGAGGAATGGTTCTGCCTCCACCTAAGCTCCGCCCACAAAACAAGTCCCAAAAGGGGTGTGTTATTCACACCGCCGGTCCTGATACGCCGGGTCACGGCACTGATGGAGTGAGTGTGTGTTCCTGCAGGTGTTTCTGCGAGAGCGTCTGCGTCAGAAGCTTCAGGACGAGCTTCATCAGGAGGTGTTGAGGAGGATCGTGTGTTTGCAGAGACGCTTCCGGACGAAGCAGGAGAGAAGACACTTCAGCCGGCAGAGACGAGCCGCACGCCTCATTCAGGTACAGCTATTATAGAAATATATCTCTGCTATTATAGAGATGTGTCTCTGCTATTATAGATTTTAAACTTCTATAGATCCTTCTATAGACTTCTATATAGAAATATAAACTACAGGTGAAACTTGAAACATTTGAATATGGTGCAAAAGTTCAGTTTATTTCAGTAATTAAACTTGAAAGGTGAAACAAATATAATATAGATATTTCAAGCCATTATTTGTTATAATTTTGATGATTATGGATTACAGATATGAAAACCTTTTCACAAAATTCTAATTTTGAATTTGGGGTTTTCAAATCTGTAAGCCATAATCATCAAAATTATAACAAATAAAGTCTTGAAATATCTCACTTTGCATGTAATGAGTCTATATAATATATTAGTTTCACCTTTTAAGTTGAACTATTGAAATAAAGGGTTATTTTGCACGATATTCAAATTTTTCGAGTTTCACCCGTATTTGCATGGGGCAACTGGTCCGTACAGATCACGGATCACCCCTAATAACCCTTCTCTGGTTCCTCTTTCTCCCCGCAGCGCTGGTGGCGTAAGTGTCTGACTCGCGCAGATGAGTGTGTGTGTGAGCCGGAGCTCCAGCAGAGGGCAGCGGTGTGTGTTCAGGCGTTCTGGAGAGGCTTCAGAGACAGACGTCAGTACCGGCATCAGAAGAGAGCGGTTCTGCTCATCCAGAGATGCTGGAGACGAGTCCTTCAGATGCGCGTGAGAGAGAGAGCGGCAGGCCTCATACAGGCCGTCTGGAGGACACACATACTGAGACACAGGGCCGCCGTCACACTTCAGGCCGCCTGCAGGGGGCGCCAGGCTCGACTGCGGTAACTACACTTACATTTGTGCATTCACTAGATGTTTTTATTCAAAGCCGCTTGCATTGCAATCAAGGTGAAGATTTGTAATCATGAGTTCCCTGGGAATCAATCCCAAGACTTTGCGCTATAGGATTTATATATATATATTATATATATTATTGGTGGGCATAGATTATTTTTTTTAAATCCAGATTAATCTCACTGTAAATAACCTCGCAGGGTAGTTTGGAAGATGGGCAGGGGCGGAGCTAGACTCTCAGTACAGTGGGGGCGGAGCTTCATCATGGGGCTCTCTGCTACCAGGTCATTTTAAAATTAAAACCGTAAAAAAAAAAAACGTAAAATATCTGATGAATGTATTATGTAATAATGTGTCACTTGTTTAGCCAAGTTAGCTTATGTTAAATAAAACACAAAGGCTATCTCGTTCTTTTCATTTTAATGCTCTCGATTTATATTTTCTCGTCATTTTTGTAATTGTACATTATACATTCGCACCTCACGCCACATGTATTTCCCTCATATTAAATATAAAATGCATAGACTGATATTTTCCTAATGTCTGGATAAACAGACAGCTATCTGGTGAAAGTCATCATAGCTTGTGTGGTATAGACCAACCAACTTTGACAATAGATTAACGGCGATATTTTTTTTATTGCCCGATAAGAGTCGCACGTTAACGCCAATAACGGCCCACCACTAATATATATATATATATATATATGAAGAGTTCAGATGCAAAAGCCTCTAAAATGATCAATTTTATCAAACTTGTATATTTAAGTTCAGTAATTTCACTTAAATGGCAATTAATAGGTAATCTTCATTGCCATTTAAGTGAAATTACTGAACTTAAATATATAAGCTTGATAAAAATCATCATTCTAGAAGAAAATTTCAAATGGCACTTAGAGGCTTTTGCATCTGAACTCTTCATATATATATATATATATATATATATATATATATATCATAGGTATAGGATGGGGTGAAGAGGCACTTATTATATATAATACAAGATATTTTGTCTGTAGCTTGATCTCTAGTTAATGACATGTTGCTCAGGTTGGCCCGCCCACAGTGAAATCTCATTGGTCCAAAATCCCTCTCAACTAAATTTAAACATCAGATGTGTTCTGATTAGCTGCGCCTTTGCATTCTCTAATTTGATTGGACCGGTAATGTTCCGTTTGTTCAGTGATCTGGCTTCTATTGGAACTATTTTCGTTGTCGTAGCAAAAATAAACATAATAGTTGACATTAGGGATGTACGATACATCGGCCACCGTATCGGTATCGGTCGATATATATACGTTTTTTAACGTTGTTATCGGCTTGATAAGAAGATTTGGCCGATATATTAAAGCCGATAATTTGTGGATTACTTCCTTCAGGTGAGACCCTTTAGATGCGCACTGTTCAACATGATGGTTTTGAATTGCTTGAAATCTGATTGACGGTTCAGTGCAATGTGCAGCACAAGTCTGTCAGATCGGCTGCATAAAATTATGAGAATATTATAATTGTGTTTGGGACCTGGCTTTTAATGATGGGACTTTTGTTTTAGGAATCAGGCTCTCAAAAATTATCTAAAAATTAGGATTTAGATGCATCAGATATATCGGTTATCGGCTTTCAAATATAAAGAATTATCGGTTATCGGTATTTGCCAAAACGTTCATATCGGTGCATCCCTAGTTGACATTGTGTCTGAAATATCTAGTTTTTTCCCCCCAAGGTGCCGCATTCTGAGAGATCAACGACGCGGAGAGAAAACCATCAATGGCGAAGAGCATCCAAACACTGTGACTAAAAGTTTACACACCCCTCAAAACTCAAGCGTAGAGCTGTCCGAGAAGCTCGAGGAAAAGCAATCCGCCGAACCTCCTCGAGCGGTCGACGACAGCACGCTAAAGAGCCGATCCAAGCGGGAAAGCAGGAGGCAACGGGAACTCGAACAGGCCACTTTCAGTTTAGAGCTTCTCAAAGTCCGATCCGGTTCAGTGTCGAACTCAGAACCGGACGCCTCCGCTCAAATCCCTCTCTCCAAACAGCCTCCTTCGTCTCCTCAGGCCTCCACCGATAGCCACGAAAGCTTTGAGGAGTTGGCCAAAGTTTCGACCCTTCAAACGAGCGAAAATAACGCGACTAAAGAGAGAGAGAGAGAGTCGGAGCAAGTTTCCAAACCCGAGCCGATGGAGGTGAACCAAACCAGCCCGACGTCCTTGAAAGCTCACTTCTACATCGCCGATGAGGACGGCAGTCCGGTTAAGAGTCGCTCGGAGAAGAAGGAGTCAGTGCTGGTCATCATCAGCATGCAGAAAGGAAACCCTGTAGACCCTGATGACCATCAGATGGAAGTGGAGGACCAACAGCTGGAGCTTCTGCTCTGCAATGATCATCCCGAAGGCCATTCGACCCCTGAACCTCAAAGCAATCACGGCTTGGACGCTTCGGCCTCCTCTAAAACCCTCCAGCTGGACTCGAGGGAAGCAGCGCCCACGAAGAAGGACGTCCAGAAGAAGCTTGTGTCTCAAAGCATCAGTATAAGTATGAAGGAGAAAGCTGATCTGGCCTTCTCTCCCAAACGCGGTCGTCTGACCTTCTCCAAGTGAGTTTACGAGCACTCAGACGTAACCCGCATTCTTCCCTTGGGTTGAGTGCTAACTCAACTATATTTATTTATATAGCGCTTTTCACGATATAGACTGAATCAAAGCAAATCAAAACATAATAACAATGTTCGTTTCTTAGTGGAAAAACATCCACGTTTGGTAGAGCTGATCAGTGGTATTACTGATTGGTTAATTAATTTAAATATTTCCCAACTGAGCAAGCCAAAGGCAACAGTGGCAAGGAACCGAAAAACTCCATCAAGTGACCTAATGGTGTCCTAAATGGGTTTTCGTTTCCATCTATCTCCATGTTGAGCTGTTTACTGTATCCACTTATGATTGTATTGTTATGGAAACACGTTCATGAACAATTTAAGTTATTACTTTGATCCCGTTTGAGGCCTAGAGCAGACCGGAGATCTCTCCGTTTGCTGATAGATTCCCGATGTTGACTCTCGTCTTATTTTGACGCCTGGCACTAGACACAAGTTGTATTTTCTTAGTCTTACGTGGAGTTTGCGTTGGGGTTTGGAATGAAATACAAGCCCGTCTCTTTAAATCCATCTTCTACTTTTGTGGAAAGTTGACTAAAGTTGTTTCACTCGAGTTGTCTTCGCTGATACGGAGAATGGAGGCGAATACACAAACCTGCCAGACATAGCCAGGCGAGCGTGAACGCGCATGACGTCTCAAATCCATCCCGAATTCCTCTTATTTATTTTACTGTTTTTACTATTTTACTGAAGGATGAGGGTTAAGATATTTTGAGAAGTTTTTAGCTGATGTTTAGCATCTAAAGTGATGACGTCATTAGATGTACTCAAACGGGACATTCTGTGGCCGGGGTGAACGAGGATTGCTGTGTGTTTTTCAGGTCGGACAAAGACCTGGTGAACCAGGAGCGATCCCTGGCGATCCAAAGAGAAGCGGGATTCAGATCGCTGAAACACCGAGAGGTGAGCGCTGGCACAACAGACAAACTTTTATTTGTTTCCGGTGTTCTGACAATTCATGCTACCCATCGAGATTTGCTACTTATTGGTTATGCGCATGTGCAGACTCACAGGTTTTTTTTTTTACAAAAGGTACATTTTCCTGTTATAATGTATAATTTTAATTTCCCTTTAAAAAATGCTTACTACCATATGAATATTTGTACGGTCAGCCAGCTGAAAAAGAATACCTGAAAGTTTCAGTTACTATGAGGAAAGGTGTACTTTGACAAGTCAAAGATGAATATTTTATGATAATTTTTACTTTTCACATCGTTTAATAACGGTAAAAAAATAAAAACAGTAGTCTACAGTATACACCCAGACAGCAAACTGACATTGAATCAACGTGGAAACGACGTCTCTCATGACATTGAAACAACGTTGATTTTGCTCATCAAATTAACGTTGAACCAACGTCAGACGTTGGTTCAGCGTTAATTCGATGAGCAAAACAATGTCAGATCAACGTTGTTTCGATGTCATGTTTCTACGTTGATTCAATGTCAGTTTGCTATCTGGGCAGTAGCTACTCATAACATAGGATTGTATTATAATTGTATTTCATACGACTTTAATCGGCATTCTGTCATCAATTCGCGCTACGGTAGCATTTTTCGACAAGGCAGCAAAAATCGACAGAGATGAGATGTCTCTCTTAGGTCCAGGACGAGTTCTGACTGGTTCCTCTTTTCTTTTATGATGCATCAAACAATAAGCAGACACTAGGGACAGAACAGGAATCGAATTACACCAAATATATTTAAGTTTCACTAAAAAAATAAGAAAAGGAGAGAGAAAAAAACATGATAAACCCATAAAGAGGAAACATTATGCATCAGTGGCATTACCAAAAAAAAAAAAGATCATGATATTTCACGAATCTGTCAATTTTCTTGTTTTTAATCAACCTGAGAGATTTGAGAAATGCATCAATTTCAAAGCTCATTACATGCAAAGTGAGCTATTTCAAGCCTTTATTTGTTATAATTTTGATGATTATGGATTACAGCTTATCACAATATTCTAATTTTGAATTTGGGGTTTTCATGAGCATCACAATTATAACAAATAATGGCTTGAATTATCTCACTTTGCACGATATTCTCATTTCTGGAGTTTCAGCTGTGGTTTAGTGTGGACTCTCTCTATCAGTTGGTTTGACATCATCAATGTGAACGATCAGGTTGTAGGAGCCGGCTGTAAAAAGAAAGCGCGTTTGGCCGGGACTCGCTCTGATTTGTTGAGTCGGGCCTGTAGCACCGAGCTCGATTCAGACGAAGATGAAGATGATGAACACGAGTACACACCCGTGCTCTCCCGAACCGGGCCTCTCCCAGAATCCCCCAGTTCTCCTGACTCCGAGCCAGCCTGCCACGGCGACTCCGACATGGTAAAACCTAGAGCGGATGTGGAGTTTTGCACACTGATCCAACCACATACTCTCTAGCCAAACGAATAGTTTCAATTTAAAGGAATAGTTTCACCAGAACTTTTAATTCTGGTATTACATTGCCATCATGTCGTTCCCAAACCCATACGACTTCCATTCTGATCAAATTAATAGTTAATAAAACAAATGTTAACAAATAAAAAATTGAAGAGTTCAGATGCAAAAGCCTCTAAATGCCATTTGAAATTTTCTTCTTTAATGATGATTTTTATCAAACTTATATATTTAAGTTCAGTAATTTCACTTAAATAACAATTAATAGGTAATTATCATTGCAATTTAAGTGAAATTACTGAACTTAAATATACAAGCTTCATAAAAATCATCATTAAAGAAGAAAATTTCAAATGGCATTTAGAGGCTTTTGCATCTGAACTCTTCAATTGTAGTCTCGCAGTTCTCCTACAACAGGTTTACACTACCAATCCAAAGTTTTAATTTTTAAAAGAATTTTAAAAGAATTAAAAAATTAAATTAAAGAAAAAATTCTTTTAAATTAAAAAATGTAAAAGAATTTTTTTAAAAGAATTAATTTTTTGTTTTTAAAAGAAGTCTCATCTAATCACTAAGGCTGCATTTTTTTTTTTTTTTAATTAAAAATACCAACAATAACAGTAATATTGTTAAAAGCAATCGGCCAATAGCGTATCTGAACCGCGTTTGAGGGCGGGGCAAAGTTGACAGTGTTTGCAGGCAGCCAATGAAAACCATAGGAAGGCATTATGCAAATTCGTAACTTACCAACGACTTGTTTTAGGCAGTTCAGTATCTCCTCTTTCCTTAAGCAGACAATAACTCCATTTATCTGCTCTTTGATCTTTGAAACTCGCTCAAAATATTAATAAAAATGTCAATCATGTCTCAATGATCCTAAAATAACACTGATGGGAACACTGATTCAGAACGACATGATGGTCAGTAAATGTTGACTCTTTAGTGTTCGTTCAGTGTGCAAAACCGCTAACTGGCCTCAACCTTGATCTCTTTCATAACCAAATCTCTAGACAGAACTAATGAAGTGAAAGACTAATAAACCTGACTGGATGAGCCTGGATTAACCAGAATATCAAGACTTGTCTGGTCTTAAACGTGAGGCTGGATCTCTCATGTGATTTTCTGTTCACTTCTGACGTTTTATTGATGAATATCAAGTTTGTGAGTTAAGATGCATGCGACTCCCATTAACATGGAAAGGATGGGGTTTCTCCATTACTCACCCTTATCTGAAACACTTTCTCTCATTCTTTCCCTCATGTGAGTCGGGTTTGGTGTCCTTACACGGTTTAGTGTTTTAAGTGAAGCACTCGTCTGCCTCAAAACCAGAACCTTGTTCCTGGAGATCACGACGGAAGAAGATTAGGGCCAAGGCAACATCTCGAGATTAAAGTCATTATAATGCCATATTATTCTTACAATTTAATATTTTTTCTTAACATTTTATTTAGACTTTTTTCTGGAAATTTAATGATTTTTTTTTTTTTCTCAAAATACAACGACTTTATTCTTACAATTTAATGAGTTGATTCTCAACATTTTATTTCAACATTTTTTTTTCTATAAACAATGACTTTATTCTCAAAATTAGATTAGTTTATTCCCAACATTTTATTTTGACTTTTTTTCTGGAAATTTTATGAATTTTTTTTCTCGAAATAACTTTATTCTTACAATTTAATGATTTTTTTTCTCAACATTTTATTTCGATTTTTTTTTTCTCTCGAAACACAACAGCTTTATTCTTACAATTTAATGAGTTTGTTCTCAACATTTTTTTTCAAATTTTTTTCTGGAAATTTTATGCATTTTTTTTTCTCAAAATAACAACTTTATTCTTACAATTTAAAGATTTTTTTTCTCAACATTTTATTTAGATTTTTTTTTCTCAACACAACGGCTTTATTCTTACAATTTAATGAGTTTATTCTCAACATTTTATTTCAACTTTTTTTTCTCTAAACACAACAACTTAATTCTCAATTTAATGAGTTTATTCTCAACATTTTATTTCAATTTTGTTCTCAAAATTTAATGAATTTTTTTCTCGAAACACAACGGCTTAATTCTTACAATTTAATGAGATTTTCTCAACATTTTTTTTCTGGAAATTTAACAATTCTTTTTCTCAAAATTTAACGAGTTTAATCTTGCATTATAATGACTTTAATCTCGAGATGGTTTTATTTTTCTATTATTGCTTGGCCCTAATCCTCTTCCGTAGATGAACCATTCAGTCTGGTTCGAAGAAGCATTTATGTACGATTCGCTTTCCGTCTCCAGTCGTCTCAGAAAGAGCAGAAGAGGATCCAGAAGACCATGTCCTCGGGGGACCTTGGGAAAATGGATTCGCTCCGGAAGTCCATGTCTCACACAGATAGCAGGTCAGAGGGGGTTCACGCCACTGTTCATGTCTGTTCTGTTTATTTTGATGAATTCATGTTTCTGTTATTGCATTAAAATGTAATATTTAATCCAAACTCTGTTCTCCGTAGGGTCAGAGGCAAAATGCGCTTCTGGAGTAAGAGCAAACATGCAGATAAGAAGATATCCAGCAGGGGGCGCTCTGCCGACTCCGAGCTCAACGACACGAGGAACGGTGTGTGTTTACACCAACACTGAGCCTGATTCCTTCCACATTTATACAGCACTTTAACAATATATAGTTTCACAGCAGTCTTTCTTTAATTGACCTCAACAAATTACTTGTCCGGCCTTAAAAATTCATAATACAGAATTTTAGGCGTTTCCGCGCATCCATGCGAACTGCAATCATTTTGACTGCGTTTTATCGGTACAGAAGTGAAGGAGGTCTTCACAAGGAGAGACTAAATACTTTTCTTACTAAGTATTTATGTCTTGTTTCAAGTCTAATTAAAGCTGCAAGCAGCGATGGGCGGGCCCTCGCACCTGTAGCACGTCGGGGTCTGAGGCGGCCGCGTTTCATTTTCTGCAGCTCAGCCAGTGCGGCTGTGCATTTGCCACACTGCTTCGTTAAAGGCCACTTCCTGTTGCCAGCAGGTGGCGCTATGACTGTGGGTGAATGTCGGCATGTAGATTTGATCAGGGCGGGACTCTTGTCAAATGTGTTAAATTTCGTGCAGATCTGGGCATTTACAGCCAAGTTACTACAACTTCCTGTTTCATGGCGAATCATCGACGCCACGGACACGCCCATCGACGAAAACGCGCAGATAGCACAACTTTTCATCGTCAATGCCTTTAGAAGGCACAGCAGAAATTTGAAGGCGATCCGACTAAAGCCCTAGGAGGAGTTAGTTAAAGTACGTAATGAGTAAATCATCCAAAAATGGCGGTAAAATTAGAAATGGCTGACTTCCTGTTGAGTTTAGGGCATCGCTCCAAGAGACTTTTCTGTGCGTCTGGACATGGTTGATGTACCACAGAAATTTCGTACATGTCGGTCAAACATGCGACGGGGGCTGCTTCGTTAAATGTCACTTCCTCTTGCCACTAGGTGGCGCTATGAATGTGGGTGAATGTCGGCATGTAGATTTGTTCAGCGCGGGACTCTTGTCAAATGTGTAAAATTTCGTGTAGATCTGGGCATTTACAGCCAAGTTACTACAACTTCCTGTTTCATGGCGAATCATCGACGCCACGGACACGCCCATCGACGAAAACGCGCAGATAGCACAACTTTACATCGTCAATGCCTTTAGAAGGTACAGCAGAAATTTGAAGTTGATCCGACTAAATCCCTAGGAGGAGTTCGTTAAAGTACGGAGTGTGTAAATCGTCCAAAAATGGCCGCCAAATTCAAAATGGCGGACCTCCTGTCGAGTTTAGGGTATGGGTTCTTGAGGCTTTTTTGTGCGTCTTGATATGATACACGTCCCCACCAAATTTCGTGCATGTAGGTTGAACGTGGACGAGGGGCTAATTTTTTCCAATTTTCTAGGTGGCGCTAGCGTGCCATTTTGCCCCGCCCATCTGCGAAACCCACAAAATACGAAATTTTTCACCAGTCCTGACATGCGTGCCAAATTTGGTGAGTTTTTGAGCATGTTGCGGCCCCGAAAATGGCACTTACTTTGCAGAAAAAAAAAAAAAAAAAAAAAAAAAAAAAAAAAAAAATAACCCTAACAGTTTCAATAGGGTCCTCGCACTGTTAGTGCTCGGGCCCTAAATATCTACAAACTTGTTTTCTGGGGAAAAAAAATCTAAATGAAGTGAGTTTTTGCTTAAAACGAACAAAATGATCTGCCAATGGGGTCAAAAAAAAAATCTTCTTTTCCATTTGAATTTAGATTTTTTTTTTCTGACCCCATTGGCACATACATCAGCTTGTTTTAAGCAAAAACTCAATTTTTTATCAGAAAGCAAGATAGAATTTCTTGTAATTTTACTGCTCTAGTAAATGCTTCATGATTTAAAGCAACACTAAATAAGATTTTTTTACCTTATGGTTTCAGTGGTTCATTAAGTCGTAACAGGGTGAAAGGCACTTCCGGATTCGCTTTACGGTCCTACATCTGCTATAACCACGCTGTGTAAGATTGCCAGATTTCTGTAGTTCTAATGAGACATAAGAAAACTACAAATTTGACTTGCTTTACGTCAAGCGTTACAATAGTCATTATTTAGTTTTTCTTCGTTTCGTTACTTTCATGAAATCATGCAACATACTCTACCTTGTCTGTGGACATCGTTCATTCCAAAGCCGGTGCTGATCAGCGAGCGTGTGTGCGACAGTCGGCTAAATTATTTACAACAGCGGTAATGGACAATTCCGCTTCCAACCTGTAGGGTGACCGAAAAGTTACTTGGTGTTGCTTTAAGGATATTTGGATATTTGGACTGGAAACAAGTCATAAATACTGAGTAAGAACAGCATCATTTTGCAGTGTAGTTGACTCTTTTCTAACACACTCTCTCTCTCTCTCTCTCCCAGACTCTCCTGCTGGAAGCCCAGTGCATGCTGGTCTATCTGAGCGCGGGCGGGACAGCAAGGAGAACCGCGAGCCGATGCTGGGAATGATGTCGATGAAGAGGAGACGCAGTGTGAAGATCAGCAGTGTGTCTCTTGAAGCCTCGGCTTGGCAGAACGACTCGCTGCACATCCTCACCAGCACCGCGGACTACCGGAGCATGAACGACTTCCTCATGAAGAAGGTGTGCGCTTTATTTATGACAGTTCATATAAACATATTACGCTAGAATGTTCAAGATGCAGACGAAAAATGCTTTGAGATAGTAAATAATAATATCAAATAGCATTTTACTCATCTAGTAAATGCTTCTTGATTTAAGAATGTGTAGATATTTGGACTGGAAACAAGACAAAAATACTGAGTAAGAAAAGCATTTTTTGCAGTGTAATTCATTTCCGTTAATTATTTGTAAAACCATTCGCGTTCAGTTTACATATGGTTGGTTTTGGATTGGAAAATGTACGAAATAACAGTTTTAGATAATAATTTAGTTGTTGTGTATGACTGCATCGAAGTGTCACCATATAATTTAAGAGTAATTCTCAATTTACAGAGAAATTTAGTGTTTAATGAAAGCAGAATGTATCACAACAAAGCTTAAAGTGTCATAATATTAGCCAAAAGTCCCCCTGTTGTCAATTTTATCCCTTAACGCTCATCTTTAATCACTATAATTACATATTTGAATGTTTTTTCCTTCTTAATGCCTTAAAATATCTTGAATGTAACTCGACACCCTTGCCTCATTTAGTAATGTGCTGTCTATGAATATGCAAATGAGCCCCGCCTCCACTCACTCAGCTCAGAGATCCACTGGTTGACGATCACACGTTGATCTGATTGTGACGTCAGAAAAACCAGCGATTTCACACCGTGTTTTTGAGACTGTCTTTGGTTCACTGCAGTTTAAAGCAGAAAATACTCGACTTATGAATTTACACACGGTTTGTCTTAAAGCGTATTAATAACGCCACATAAACAACATTAAAAGCTGTATTTTCACCACGGGGGGCTTTGACTGTGTGTTCTGTTATGTTTGTTTCTGTAGATCGGAGATCTGGAAGCAGAAGACGGTCAGAAGGATTCGCCTGTGGACGTCGTGTTCAAGAAAGCCCTGAAAGAGTTTCGCCTCAACATCTTCAACTCGTACTCGACTGCTCTCGCGGTGAGCTTCTGGAAACCCAAAACTAGGGGTGTCGCAATAAATCGCATATATCGTATTGTGTATAGTTCACACAAAAGAAAAATTACTGTGTGAAAAAAAGATAATATATAATAATGCAGTGGGGGATGCCGGATGTCTGATGTCACCAGTAAAACTGTCCGAAGTTATTTTAAATATATCTAGTCAGTGACAGAGATCAAGCATATTCATCTATAATAATTCAGTTTTCAGCTTCAGAATCATGAATATTGTTATTCTGGTGTCTCTATTGTCCTTGAGTCCAAGACTATTCATTTACACACACACTAAAACACCAAAATTAGCATTTTAACCAACAGTGCATTTTTTTAAATCTTTTATCATATGTCTGGAGTATCGCAGTAATATCGTATCGTGAGTTCAGTATCGTGATATGAGAGTATCGTTACACCACTAATGAAAACTTTGATAACATTTTATTTTACAGTGTCCTTGTTACATATGTCACATGTACTTGGCTTTTTAAAATACGCAACTTAAACAATTATCATAACAAGTATTTTGTTTAAGCATAGCCACTTTAATTTTTTTTTTTAGCTTTATATGTCTGTTTGGTTTTATTTATTTATTTTTATCAGGCATATTTATCTAGTTCCCATCTAAATAAATGTATAAAAAAATAATTAAAAAGTGTACTTGCCATAGTAATAAAAGTAGATTATACATAATTACGTGCAACTAACCCTCAAACAAACGCTAACACTACAGTAAATACATGTAGTTGCTTATTATCACTCAGTTCTTAAATATACAATTACATCTTAATATAAAGTGTAACCTACACTTCTTCTCACTCCTCAAATCCCGGCGTATATGTGCGTGTTCCTCAGATGGACGATGGCAGGAGCATCCGCTATAAAGATCTCCACGCTTTATTCGAGCACATCTTGGAGAAGAGTATGCGTCTGGAGCAGCGAGACTGGAGCGAGTCTCCTGTTAAAGTCTGGGTCAACACCTTCAAAGTCTTCCTCGACGAGTTCGTGAACGAACACAAGCCGACTGACGGAGCCGTTAGCAAGGTACGCCCGATCTGCGTGTTCACGGCTAGCAGCTAACGGCTAACGCTCTTCTGATCGTCTGTGTATGATGTTTCTAGGCTCCTAAACCTGAGAGGAAGAAGAGGAGGAAGAAGGAATCAGACACGGTGAGTCCTCGTTTATTAGTTCACCTAAAATGAAAATGATGTCATTAATGACTCTCCGTCAAGCCCGTCAGACCTTCGGGAACACCGTTTAAAGGAGTAGTTCACATTTAAATAAACTTTTGCTGATAATTTACTCACCCCCATTTCATCCAAGATGTCCATGTCTTTCTTTCTTCAGTCGAAAAGAAATTAAGGTTTTTGATTAAAACATTCTGAATAAACTGTGATAGTGTGAGAAATGTTGAAGGTGTCTGAATATGATATTTCTAGAGTTATAGATATTTAGTTATATTATCCATTTCCAATAAATCAGTATCACCATCCATAAACAAGACCATTATATCATTATCAGTTATGGGGACAAATTTGTAAAACACCTAAACAGAGAAACTTTGGACCAAAAAAACAAAAAATAAATAAAAGTAAGATAGTTTCTTTTTCCAGCATAATGGAGAACCTTTTCCATTCTTTAAACTTACTAATAAAATCATTACATGGATAATATCGGTTTAAGTTTACCACTTTATTAATCCCACAAGGGGCAATTATACTAGTGCAGTGGCATCACACATGCACATCATACTCTGTTTATTATTTATTATTAAGTGCATTTCTTTGACTTTATTAGGAATGACATATATTTCTTAACATCTGAACATCATGGATTTTAATGATTATGATGCAGGTGGAGGAGCACATGGGCCACATCTTTAAATCCACTCAGTACAGCATCCCGACGTACTGCGAGTTCTGCTCCTCTCTCATCTGGATGATGGACAAAGCCTGCGTCTGCAAACGTGAGCCAAACTCTGCCCTGTTTAATCAATGGACGTTTCAGTCTTGGAACGTTTTTCACTTGGAGACTCAAGCAAGTGCTCAGTCTCTGTTTAGCGTGTTTAACGTGTGCTTGTTTCTTTCGCCTTCAGTCTGTCGCTATGCGTGCCACAAGAAGTGCTGTCTGAGGATGACCACCAAATGCAGTAAGAAGGTGAGAGCAGCTCCAGAGTGTGTGTTTGTGTTTAATTTTTTCAAAAAAAGTCTCTTCTGCTCACCAGGGGCCTCATGTATAAAACTTTGCGTAGATTTCATCCTTAAAGTGTGCGTACGCACATAAGGCAGAATTTGCGTATGCACAAAAGTTTTCAGATTTATAAAACCGTTCGTACGCCAGAACCTGCGCAGAATTCACTTTATAAATCCCAGTCAACGGAAGATTATGCGCATGTGCGTCTCCTCCCCGAAATAACCATATATGGAGATTACAACTCCTAGTTTAAATATGCATATCCTCATCTGCATATCATTTGCGTATGATTATTCATCCACGTGATACCAAGTTTAACGGAAATGCGGATGTGCCGTCACATTATTACAAACATTTTTTTAGTAGCCTATATCCTTGCCTTGTTTTTGAATGAATAAATCAAATAGTGTTAAATACATTTCAGATAAAGTTTCTCAATCTTTTCCACTGGCCAAATAGTATTTTTAATTGATTTATATTTTAATGGAAAGAGATAGACATGGTTGTGCATTATTTGCACGAAACAGTTTTCTCAGACAATCTCTAGTTAAAACATTAAAACACAGCATGCCAGAAGAAAAGTGTTCAAAAGCAATGCATCCACAACAAATAGGTCTATTTCTATTTATTGAATATATATATATATATACTGTATATATTGTAACTTCTCAGTAATGATTGCATGTAGTTTAAGAGTTTAACTCCATTAATGAGAATGGCATATTTAATCTAAATGTTTATATCAGAAGTAAAACAAAGTTTAAACCATTCTCTTATTTATTTAAACTATTATTGATAACATGCACTCTATTTATGATGATAATGATGACTCATAATGATGATTTACGGTTTTACTCCATCTGCCGTTAGATTATAGGCTATATGTGCGTCAGTTTCACTAAACGGAACGCGCGTGCTGGCACGGTCATTTAAGAAGGGATGGATGTTTGCTTCAAGTGATGATAGGTTTGTGAAATTATATTTGTATTATCTTTCTGTAGATGTATAATTTTCTTTAGATTCTCTGTCTAATAGTGAGCAAAAAGACATTTGACTCCAGCTCACCATCGGGGTCGCCAAAACCCATACTCTTCTAAAAGAGTGCGTACGCACAGTCAATAGCATCCTTACGGTGCGCACTTATTTACGGCAAGTTTATTTTTTATAAATCCCGATGTGCGCGTGGAAAAATGCGTACGCATATTTCTATGCCCATTTTGTGCGTACGCAACGTTTATACATGAGGCCCCAGGGCTGCATTTTATTTGCACACAAAATACAGTAATATTGTTAAAGAGCCTCTATCGTAGCATTTGAAATGTTCCTATTTTAAGTTTAACATGCATGCAAGGATAAAAAAAACACTTTATTTGTCTTATAATATGCATTTATTTTTAACTGATTTGCTCACTGACTCCCAAATGATTCGTACAACGACTCATTTTTCCAAACCACTCCTTTGCGTGATGCTAATCGGCGGTAAACATGCGTATAAACAAATTGATAAAGCACTGCAGTACGACAAGACGCTCTATTCTTTATGACGACTCCAATAACAGCGACAAACATTTCACATATTTAAAAAAAAAATTGACATTGGAGACCTAGAAGCTGCGCTGAGCATAACTTACACACACACACGCGCGCACACACACATACTGCCTCACGCCCCGACACTACAAAACCGTTTAAAACCCATAAAAGCAACAATTATTAATAATACTTACAGGTTGTGATTCGAAGGAGGAAGCTGATCCATATACACTGTGTAAGTAAGTTACTGAGCCCAAGTTCACGAACAACCGCTTGCGAATCCACATTTGAATTCATTTATGTTTTTGAACTAACGTTATTCGTCAATAAAATGATGAGAAGACAATCGGGCTATACTGTTGTGGTATCGTTGCAAATATGAACTCCCGATTCTTCACATGCTCGTCCCTGGTAAATGAAAACAAAGTGGCTGAACTATCTTTGCATCGTAGAACACAGCGTCTTCTCGACATGATGCAATGATGAAGTATTTGAATGTGTAGACTTCAAGTTTACACTTCCGTCTGCGCGCGGCCAGTATGTATCTACGTCGTCACTACGAACCAGCTAATGACTCGTTTCAGAAACAATTCATTTCATAGACTCAGAGTCGACTCTCACTTTTGAAAAACAATAACTTTATATACGGTGCACTTTCAGATTTAAATCTTTGCAGGATGTTTTCATTTCAGTCATTTTCAAAAATCCATGATAGGGGCTCTTTAAATATTATGACAATTTATATGTTCAAATTATGACGGCTTTCTATTTTAATATTTCAAAGTGTAATTTATTCCTGTGATCAAAGCTGAATTTTCAGCATCATTACTCCAGTCTTCACTCCAGAAATCACTCTCAATCATTATTACAATTGTAATAACATTTCACAATATTACTGTCTTTTCTGTATTTTTAAGTCCTTGGTGAGCAGAAGAGACTTCTTTTAAAAGCATTAAAAATCCTAATATTGACTGGTCGTCAGCCGCTAATCTTAAACGTGCCTCTGGATGTACGTTTAATTATACAGAAAGATAAATGATCTTTCTGTGCCGTCTTCAGTTTGTATGTGGCTCATCTCAGTGCCTCAAACTTCATTCCAGTCATATTTTGTTCATGTAATTCATTTCTGTGTGTGTCTGTCTGTGTGTGTGTGTGTGTGTGTGTGTGACCCAGTTTGACCCCGAGCTGTCTTCACGGCAGTTTGGCGTAGAGTTGTCTCGTTTAACGAGCGACGAGAGAGCCGTCCCTCTAGTGGTTGAGAAACTCATCAACTACATCGAGATGCACGGGCTTTACACCGAGGGAATCTACCGCAAATCTGGATCCACCAATAAAATCAAAGAACTCAAGCTGGGTCTGGACACCGGTGAGACTCGCGTGAACGCCATCTTGTAATCAAATTGACTTGAGTAGAGACTGTCATTGAGTGTTTGCCTTCATTGCAGATGCGAACAGTGTTAGCTTAGACGACTACAACATCCATGTGATCGCGAGTGTCCTGAAACAGTGGCTGCGTGACCTTCCGAACCCCCTCATGACCTTTGAACTTTACGAGGAGTTCCTCAGGGCTATGGGTATGAGTGCTTCCCAGCCGGATTCACAAAACGCTCTTTAGGATAAGATTCTTCTCTGGTGATTTCTACTTGTTTGAAATCACCATGAAATCAAAACTGCTGCATGATTTGGTTTATATTTGCTTAAAGCGCCCTCTTGTGGGCATAGGAGACAATACAATACCTCTAACATTAAGTACTGCCTTTAGAATTCGAATATAATTTGAATTTAGCTAATGTTTAAGAAAGAAATTTGAATTTAACTTTTTAGATATTTTGATAGTGCACATCATTGTTGTGTTAAATTCATATAATCTTTAATGAGAATAAGTTCGTCTTGCAGCATCTCTTCTCTTCTCTGATGACGAGGGCGGGGCTTTAACCTGTCACTCACATGAGATCAGCCAATAGCAAACCACAACCATCCAATCAATTCCACACAGACACAATCAAGCCCCGCCCACATTTGTTCTTGTTTCACTCAGATATATGACACAATAGAGGAGAACTATCTCAACTTGCATTTCATGCTGACTTTAATAAAAATTATTTTTCTAGAATTGAATTTAGGAACGTTCATATAAACTATATACATCAAGAAACTTCTTGAAAAGATTTTCGTGAATCCGGCCTCTCATCGTTGATTTGCATGGATGTAATTCAGTGTGTTTTCTGATTTGCATGGATGTAACGCAGTGTGTTTTCTGATCTGCAGGTCTGCAGGATAAACGTGAGCTGGTTCAGGGAGTGTATTCGATCATCGATCAGCTCAGCAGAACTCACCTGAGCACACTGGAGAGACTCGTATTCCACCTGGTCCGGTGAGTCTTCCGAGCTGATTTATTTATAAAGACAACACATTAATCCACATTTCTGTAAATGTGCCAGTGTTAGCAAGCTAATTGTAAACTGCAGTCTTTTGGCAGGATGTTTTTGAAACCTTCAAAATAATAATAATAAAAGTACATTATGAGGACATCATAACTCAATAAAGAACAATAAATAACCTGTTGAACACCGACCCCAAAATAGGAAAATAAAACATTTAGCATACCCAAAATCAAACAGGTATAACTTATCAACCATAAGACCCACATACATGATTCTGGGATCCTTTGATAGATCAGAAACTATGGGATATAAATACATAAGTAATACTATCTATTACTATTGAAGAGTAATCTCGGATGGAAAACAGCATATATAAAAGATTCAATTTTCACCTAAAAAAAACCACATTTTATAGGGAATATCCCCTAGGTATAGGGATGCACGATAAATCGGCCAGCATATCGGTATCGGCCGATATATGTTCATTTTTAATGTTATCGTTACTGGCCTGGTAAGAAAATGTGGCCGATATATTAAAGCCGATAAATAATGTATTATTCCCTTCAGCTGAGACACTTGTTGAGAACTGTTTATGTTTTCGATTTTCTTGAAATATGATTGAAATCTCTTGAAAAATAGAAAATACGGTTCGGTACAACATGTGAAGCGCGAATCTGTCATATCGGCTATACAACACTATAATGTGAACATCATTGTAATTGTGCGCTTGGGACATGGAATTAATTGTGATACTTTTGGATTTGTAATCAGGCTCTCAAAATTAGATAAAAATTTGGATTTAAGTTTATCGGCCGATATATCGGTTATCGGCTTTCAAATATAAAGAATTATCGGGTTATCGGCCAAAATTTTCATATCGGTGCATCCCTACCTAGGTATGCCTTTTGAAGCCTAAAAACTGTAGAAAACAATAAAATACCATCTTAAAGGGATACTCCACTTTTTTGGAAATTGGCTCATTTTACAACTCCCCCAGAGTTAAACAGTTGAGTTTTACCGTTTTCGAATCCATTCTGGCGATTTTCTGATATTTAGTAGAATATCAGAAACCAGACAGTTTCTGGTCTCATTGACTACCATAGTAGGAAAAAATATATACTATGGTAGTCAATGAGACCAGAAACTGTCTTTATACTCATATTCGTCTAAATACCAGAAAATCGGCTGAATGGATAACTCTGGGGGAGTTGTAAAATGAGTCTATTTCCAAAAAAAAGTGGAGTATCCCTTTAACATCGCCTGCTCATAGATTGATGCTATAAGAGTCTAGCAGGGTTATACATGATTTATTAGAGGCATATCTTGGCAAACTCTCCAAACTGGTTAATTTGGGCACATTTTGGCACCATCTGAAATTTCTCAGGTACCAAACTCATTTGATTTCACTTACATGTCACTATAGGTATTTATTCCATCTAAAAACAATAGTTTTGAAAAATCAACCAGACCTCTATATAGTTCCCCATGCAAAAAAAAAAAAAAAAACATACAAAAAAATAAAGTTTGACTCCAAATGGAGCAGATTTATTCACAACAAACTGTAAAAACACAAAAAAAACTCAGTAAAACTGTTTAGAAGAAGAAAAAAAACCCACTAGCAATAGCTACATGTGTTCCTGTCCTAATCCCACTAATGGCTGTCATGCCACTCCTGGAAACAGTTTTTCCTCGAGGTGAGGCACAGAGGGACCTGACACTTCCGGCAATGAATGGGGGTTTTTACTCTTTGCCAGCCAGCCTCCTGGCATCTCCTGCAGTACCGCCGTGCTTGTGTGGCATCACCCCCATAATACATAGGCATGCAGGTGGGCTGTGGCGGTGGTGGTGGAGGTGGTGGAGGTGCTGAGGCCTCAGCGAAGCTCAACATTTCTGCAGCCAACCTCTCCCTGAATATTTTCTGTGTGAGAGGCTTAGTTAGTGTGGGCTCTTTCCTCATCTTGAACAGCTCCTTGTGAAGAAGGAAACTGTTCACCACCGCGATGTCGATGAAATGGTAAAAGAAAGTCTTGTACCACTTCATTGTCTTATGGTGCACGGTGTAATAGCCAATCAAGGCGTCGGATACATCAACGCCACCCATGTTTTTGTTGTAGTCCACAACAGCGTCCGGAATAGGGATGTCCTTTGTTTGCCACACACCAGCCTCTTTCACCTTCCTCTTGACAGTATGTCCACTAAAAGCTTCATGGATAGTGGAGCACATGGACACCCCCCGGGTGTCCATCCACTTTACAAAAAGAAGCTTGCCCTCCCTTATCCAGCGCATATCTCCCCGGGCAGCCTTTTTGTGGAGGTCGTTTTGTGTGGTGTGTGGAAAACCAGTAAGATTTCGTCTGATGGTCCCACAACAACCAATGTGTTTCGTGTGCAAGTCGAGAAACAGGGCAGGGCTACTGTAAAAATTATCTACGAACAAATTATAGCCCGAACCAAGCAGTGGAAATGGCAAAAGGTCCATGACTGAAGTGTAGCTGAGACCTTGGCCTGTGGTGACCATTTTCTTGCCGGAGTACACAAAAAAATTCCACGTGTATGCAGTTGATGCGTCGGCCAGCACGAAGAGTTTGTAGCCCCACTTTATGGGTTTGTCCTTCATGTATTGCTTCATGCTGCTGCGGGCCTTGGACGCGACCATCCTCTCATCGATGCAGATGTTTTTATACGGATGGAAGTTGGCCTGGCAGGCGGTCACTATCTCAGTGTAGAGAGGCTTGATCTTGAAAAGCCTGTCATACTGATCCGTGTTCCTTTTCCGCTCATTCTCCTCGTCTTCTTCCGGGTTACTCAAATGCAGGGACCACAAGATGGCTTCAAAGCGGCTCCGTGACATCTTTTCACTTGGGAAGTGGAAGTTGTATGGCCACGCCTTCCGCCAGTAGTCGGATCTGAGATGCACCTGAACGAGGCCTGTGTAAAGTATGATGGCCATGAAAATGTAAAATTCCTGTGTTGTTAGCGTCTTCCATACAAACTTCCTCCCAGCCTTTATTCTCTTAGCAGCATTGGAATTTGTATTGTCAATAATTGTCCTGACCACAGACGCACTGAAAAACAGCTGGAACAGGGTGAGGGGAGACCATGATGCTGTCGTATCAAAGGTGGGGCCTGGGGTCCTGGATGGCATGAACCTGGGTGGGTTAGGCTTGGTATCCTTCTTCTCTTTATTGTGCCACGAATGGTCTTGGTCTGTTGAAGAAGTGGCAGACCCACTCCGACCTCGCTTAGTTCTTGGAGACTTCTGCAGTGCTTTCCGCTTTCTTTTCGGAAGTCTTTCTTGAGGCACATCAGAATCAGATGACGTGGGGGTTGTGCTTGATGGCCCTGGCTGGGGCTGTGGGGGTTGGGTTGGTGAAGAGGCAGCAGAAGATGAAGGCCCCTCATAATCTTCATCACTGTGAAACAAAGAAAGAAGAAAAACTTTTAGATATATTCATGGTCTGGCACTGATTTTGAACAGAAATGATTCCAAAAACTCTAGTAACATTTTATTGTGGTTTATAATACGTTATAAAAGAAATAACTCTGTAACTGAAAACTCTAGTAACATTTTATTGAGGTTTACAACATATTGTATTAAGAGAAATAACCCACTGTAACTGAAAACCCTAGTAATGTTTTATAGAGGTTTATAACATATTATAAGAGAAATAACCCACTGTAACTGTAAACACTAGTACATTTTGTTGTGGTAAACATGCTTGTGCTGGGAAAGTAAGCAAACAATCCAGTTTGAGTTTGTGTATTCAATAGGCTAGCTAGAAAATCGGTCATTTTACACTAATAACATTGTAACAGCACCGTAATTTGATACCAACACAATAAGTAAATGATAACAAAACGTATTTTACAAACCTTTCTGATGTTGGAAGCCTATAATCAGGGTCACTGTCGTCCGATATGCCCTCAGCAACAAAGAGATCTTCATCGTCCGATGAAGAGTCAACGGCAATGAGCGGAGCTTCGTCGTCCGCCTGGATCATTTGCAGTGTTTCGGCGGTCGACATCTTCTGCCATTTCATCTCGGCCATTATTTCTCCAAGAAATAAGAAAGAATGGCTCGATAATCAGTAAAATAAGGCTACGCGTGTCGCGTGCGTTCAGTTGTTCGGTTTAACTTTGCGCGCTGCTGCTGTGCGCTCTGTTGTATTCGCTGTGCGTGCTGCGTCATGACGGCGAACGGCTATCTCGGCCACCGATTGGTCAATTTGGATGATTGACACCTATATCCAAACGTCAGAACCAATAGAATCGAGGGCATTTGGCAAACTCCGTGTAAACCAGAGCCATAGACATTCCCATAGACCGCCATAGGAATTTAGGAATGCGGAAGTAACGCGTGTCTTTTTTTCATTGAACTTTTACTTATTACAACAAACAATAAAGAAATCCAACAAAGAAAGAGCGTATGACAATCTCAAAATGTACAATACAAATACTAATGTATTACAAACCAAGATTCACACCTCCCGCACATCATCCAAAAAGACATCCTCTGCACTGATCACATGACAAGGGAGAACAAATAGACTTAAGGAGCTCAAAACACACACAAAAATAATAATAATAAAAAAAAAATAAAGAAAGAAAAAAAAAAGAAAAGTAACGCGTGTCTTATCTCCTTCTGAGGTGAAATTGGGCAGTGTAAACTAGGATTTTTTTTAAACGATTTTCTGAATGTAAAGCCAAAACAGTGTGTTTATGAATTTTGGAGGACTCTCATTGTATAATACAACATCAGAATGTGCTGAAACTGTGCAGGTGACACGGTGAGAAGGTGTACTCTCCATCTGAGGTGATATTGGGCAGTGTAAACTAGGATTAAAAAAAAAAAAAGATTTTCTGAATGTGTGGACACAACAGCGTATTTATGAATTTTGGAGGGCTCTTATTTTGCAATACAACATGAGAATGTCCTAAAACTGTGCAGGTGGCATGGTGAGAAAGATGTGCTCTCCATCTGAGGTGAAATTGGGCAGTGTAAACAAGGATATTTATTCTAGTGATTTTCTGAATGTATAGACACAACAGTATATTATTATTTTAGGATGAAATGGATAGATGGATGGATCGATAGATAGATAATTATAAATAGATAGACAGACAGACAGGAAGAATAAATTAATGAATAGCCTTCCCTGGAAGATCAATTGTTTTCAATCCAGATGATGGTCTGACAGTCTTACCGTAATAGCTAGTGTATACACGCACCACAGAATATAGGAGCGGCTAGTTTGACCGCTCATTTCGAGGTGGCGGCTGGCTTTACCGCAGTATCATTTGAGTGGCCGTTTGTATTGATAGGTCAACATTAGAGAGCAGGGATGGAAATTGTAGCTGGTGGATTTCAAAATCTACCAGCCACTCAATGTTTTTACCTGCCACTTTCTTGTTTTTAACCAATAATGCATAACTTCAAGTGAAAATTAATACTACAAGAGCTACAATACTTAAGTAGTTTATTTAATCTCAAATAATGTCAAATCCTCTCTATAGAGGAACACCAGACCCACCGTAGTCCTGATGTGTGTAGCGTGTGTCAAGTGTAATGTGTGTTTGTTTCAGGATCTCGTTCCAGGAGGAGACGAACCGCATGTCTGCGAATGCGCTGGCTATCGTGTTTGCCCCCTGTATACTGCGCTGTCCCGACACCACCGACCCGCTGCAGAGCGTCCGGGACATCGGCAAGACCACCGCGTAAGAAAAAAAAAAACACGCGCAGGAAAATACACTTTTATACACCAAAATTCTGCTCACAGTGTTCCAAATCTGGTATGAAATTAACAAAAAAGTTGCCAAGTCTGCGTTTTTCCTGCAAAATTGGACTAGTTTCACATAAATATGAGACTGAATTGCTTGTATTGAAATATTTTATATTCTAACAATGATGAAACTGTGCTATATGTTCAGTTTTGTGATCACTACAATATATTAGGGGTGCAACGATACACTCGTCACAACACAAGTCGATATGATTACGATACTGCACTCACGATATGATGTTATTGCGATGCACAGGACAATAGAGACACCAGAATAACAATATTCATGATTCTGAAGCTGAAAACTGAATTATTATAGATGAATATGCTTGATCTCAGTCACTGACTAGATATATTTAAAAATAATGTCTGCCACTTTTACTGATAACATCAGACATCTGGCATTATCTGGACACACACATATTCATTATTATACATTATATTCAATATTATATATAGCAGTTTAATGTAGAACTGACACTAAAACTCTGAAAATTTTAGTTTTAATTTTTTTTTTAAAATTTTGGGTGAATTATACTACTATCCATGATACATATTGTTGTATTATTGTTACATGACGTATATCTACGTATATCTATAAATACGTATAAATATCTATAAATACGTATAAATATCTACATATATCTACACTACATCAATAAATGCCATGATCATGATCAATGCTACATTTTCAAAATATCATAATCATCTGTTAACACACAAGTATTCTTTACTTCTATGACCTCATTATTTCTTTATTAAATTATTACATTATTTAAATTATTATTTTTCTTTTAACTGTGATTTTTTTATATGTACATTTCTGAAGTACATTACTTAGTTTCCTCTATCAGATCACTCTTGATTATAATGTGGACATTTCTGTAAAGCTGCTTTGAAACGATGTGTGTTGTCTAAAGCGCTGTAGAAATAAATGTGAATTGAATTGAAGGATTTCCCTCAGGTGTGTGGAGCTGATCATCTGTGAACAGATGAGGAAATATAAAGCTCGTCTGAAGGACATCAACACACTGGAGTTCGCAGAGAGCAAAGCCAAGATTCGCCTGACACACATCCGTCGCTCGATGGTGAGCCACACACACACATCTCAGAGCCTCAGACTCACACAGGATCTGCACCCGATGCTGCCACACACAAACTCATGTTTTAGCTCCGCCCCTTTTATGACACGTCACTTTCCATGCATTTAGTACACACTCCTCCTGAGTGCCATGAACTTTAGAGGGACAAACCCTATCCATATCTATCTATCTGTCTCTATCTATATTGTTTATCTATCCATCCATCCATGTATATCTGTCTGTCTGTCTATCTATATCAATCCTAACACTTCCTCACAAAAAAAACATGGCTAATATAACATCAAGTTTCACATTCATGGAAAGTGCCGTACATCTTCACTTCCCCATTCTGTTCCCATACAGACACTCCACTAATCCTGTTTTCTTCCCTTCACTCCTTCCCAATCCCCTTCTCCCCATCCTCCTCTTCCAGAAACCAGTACTAATTGCTGTTAGGTTTATTGGCATTACAAGAACTGCCACGCTGGTATGTATCCACGCCGCAAAACATCTGTGACGTCACACGGCTAGTGAATGTCCGTCCGTGTAGCATCGCTAGTTGCCATCCGTGGTTTGATGACATGTTTATTTGGCCCCGTTGAAGACGCTCAAGCTAACTTTGAAATGCTGTCGTGTGATTTGTTGTGAGAGGTGATCGGAGGAGAGTACGGTCCAAATGATGTGCTTAAATGTCGCATTGTTTTTTTGTTTTGTTTGGTCTTGTTTTAACCACACATACGACATGCTGCCGAATTACTAACATTTCCTCTTTCATTTTTCCTGCATTTGCTTCTCGCTGCGTTATTACTCAGCCAAACGCAGTTAAAAAGGTAAAGCTCAGTGATTGTGTGTTAGTGTGTGTTTAGTCTCACTTGCAGTGCCGTCTGTCTCCCTCATGTAAGGTGTGGTCATGTTAGACTTTGTATTATTGATTCACATGCAAATATCGTGTATGTGTGTGTGCAGGCATGTGTGTTTTTTATGTGTTCCAAAAATTTAGGCTGTAATCATACATACATACATTTTAATTGATTATTTTATGCCTACTGGAATACAATCGAAATTGTAAATTCCAATTCCAAATGTTAATAATTTAAGTTAAAACAATTATGTTAAGAAATGTAACATTTTAAGTCCCCCTGTAGTCAATAATTTTATCCCTTAACGCTCATCTTTGATCACCAGAATCACATATTTGAACTTTTTTTCCTTAAAAAATTCTGCATGCCTTAAAATATCTTGAATGTAACTCGACACCCTTGCCTCATTTAGTAAGTCGGTTAATATGCAAATGGGCCCCGCCTTCACTCACTCCCTCAGCTCAGAGATCCACTGGTTGACGATCACACACGTTGATCTGATTGGTTATAAGGTCGTTTGTGACGTCAGAAACACCAGCGATTTCACTTCGTGTTTTTGGTTCAAAATACTCAGCAATGCTGTCGACTTTTGAATTTACGCATGGTTTGTCTTAAAGCGTATTAAAAACACCATATAGACATATAAACAACATTAAAAACTGGATTTTCACCACAGGGGGACTTTAAACGTTTATATAAAGATAAAAAATTACATTTAATTCCAACATATCTACAATGCTTTTCTTTTTTACAGTAAAGCTTAATTTTTCATGAATTCCAAACACAAATTTTGACCAAATGCAAAGTCTAGCGTGATTCGAACTTTACCACATTGATTACTGGCTTCTTATGCTGCAGTTTCTGTTTTCTTCAGGGTAAAGGGCGTATACGCAAAAGCGGTCGCCACACGCCCTCGCCGCCACTGAGCCCGCGGATGACCGAAGGGGAGGAGCCAAGCGAGGAGGGGGCGGAGTCTGGGCTGAGCGAGCAGCAGCAGGCCGCCATGCAGCAAGAAGAGAAAGTTTTGACCATGCAGATCGAAAACCTGCAGAAAGAGAAGTTCGTAAACACCTTTTGCATCATGATTATACTATAAGTATAATAGTATGAAATTGTATGTATGTGTATATATATGTATATATTCCTTATAGTATGAAGGAATTGTAACAAATCCACTGGAGGCGAGCTTTGCGAACCCATTTATTTCCATAATAATATAAAAACACAACAAAACAAGACATCAAACGTTCAGGAGAGAGGTGGAGCGGTTTCATTATTTTCCTTTACACCTGTTTTTCACTCATTTTAGGGAAGAACTAACCTATGAGATGTTGGCTTTGGATCCAAGAGCGTCTGATGATGAGATGCTGGAGTCGGAAGCGTCTATCGGGACAGCGGACAGCTCGGAAAACCTCATGGAGTCGGAAGGGGCCGTGTCCGATCAATGGGGTAACGGCGGCATTTTGAAAGAGTTCTGTTTGTCCCTCGTGTCGTTCCAAACCCAACACAACCTGAGGGGCTTCTGTACAAAACCAGAACTTAGAAGATCCAAAAAGGACATAAAGTCAATGTAAAACTAATCCATTTGAATCAAAGTCTTGTGAACAAATTTATTTTTGCCTTTTATTCACATCTAACCAATGATATATGATGTGCTCTATGCGTGAGCTTATATGTGATTTAAAACTGTTCATCATATAAGCAATTGTATCTCTTCACAAGACTTGGATTAAACAAATCGATTCATGCAGATTTATGTTTTTTGGATCTAATTAGGTTTTGTACCTGGAATTTGTTAGTTTGTGCGTCGATTAAAAAAAGGTCCATAGTGGCAAAAATGTCCATGGCAAAATACTGCTTGTGATCACAAATTTAAGTTTGGTCTCATTTTAAAGACCCTTGCGGATTATTGTTGGAAAAAATAATCGTAAAAAAGTAATGGAGGTTTATTCATTATTTTATATAAAATATATATTTTATGAAATATCTAGAAAATCAAAGCCATGAATCTAAACAAGTTGTGTTCCAAATGTGAGCTTGATATCTCATAAAATCAGCGTTCAGTGAGAGTGTGTTTGGGCGCAGGAACAGATTCCCCCATTAGATGCATTGGATTTGGGATTTTGGGAGTTTTTCTCTCTCAAATATTACAAGCACACAATTATCGCTGCATCATTTATCCAATTGGCTTTATAAAATCCAATTTGCTTTATTTGCCAAACCCGAGAAAATGGCATCAACTGATAAAAAAAAAAGTTGTAAAAAAATTATATTTTAAAGCCCTGCCAACTGAACAAAAGCCTATTAACAAAGATTGCATCACTTTAATGTTAAATAGCCCTTGGATTAAAAATTGTAGTTTATATAGGGACATTTTTGTCCTAAAGGTCATATTGTGTGCTATTGGTGTAAAATAGATTAATGAAAGGAATTGGGGGTGAAATAGTAAAATTCTAATAAAAATACACACCTGTACCAAAATATATACAGTTGGCATTAACACAGTCACAAAAAAACTTTATTTGAGAGGCGAGTAAATGATGACAGAATTGTAATTTGCATGTGATGTCAAACGTTTCCTTTTCAGAAAGAATCACCGGCGCGGCGTCGGCAACACGCTGGAGGAAGTCCGAGTCTAAAAGCAGACGTGGTTTACGGCGTCAGCCCGAATCCCTGGACTCTGTGGACTCGGCCGTCGCCTCGCTGTCCTCCGAGACGCCTCACTATCGGCTCCGTTCCTCCTCTTCCGGGCCTCTGTTTTCCTCCGCCTCCTCCGGTGGGGATTTGCACATTCTCCCCGACCAGGAGGGCTTAGAACAGGCTTCCCTGAACACCCGATGTGCCTCCAGCTCCGAGAAAACCCGTCCACGACCCCGAGGGAACCGAAGCTGCCCGCCCAAGCCCCGCGAGGACGGAGGCGTCCGCAGACGAGAGCACGAGTTCGGTTCCTCTCAGCCTTTAGTGCTGTACGGGAGTAATGAATTCATGGTGTGATCATGTGGCGTCCAACATTCGCTGGAGCTGGTAACGCCTTTCACAGTGCTGGTAAGGAACAAAATGCAACAAGTACGGTGTAAAAATGAACGCACCCATATCTACGACCTACTGACTGTAAAGTGGACCTGCTGGACCGGTCCGTTCTTCACAACAGATTCTAAGAGTAGTTGAACTGGGAAAGAGCGATTTTTAATTAACCTGTGATGTCCATTTTCATGTTTACAGAACTGAGCCAATGAGAGGTCACATGACTTCAACTGACTGCATGCTGTATTGCTACCATTGTTTTCACTCTATGATTAAAGCCTTTGATAAAGTGCTAAATATGTAAAATATTATATTATTGATGAGGGTCGAGTGAATGGTGTAAATAGCTGAAATCCCTGTGCTGCTGGTTGACCCGTGTGAAAATAACGTCTTTTTGTGTTGCGGATCGAGAACTTGTGTGAATCTGTATGTTGAGTTTCTTACGGCTGAGTCTGACGAAAACAAACAACGTCCGTCCGGGTCTTATTTCCTCCCTGAACAGATTTTTGATTTTATTTGCATAAAGCAAACGATCTTACATTTACGTTTAGTCATTTAACAGACGCTTTTATCCAAAGTGACTTACAATTGAGGACTAAACCAAGCGAGTCATCGTGAAGAGGCAAAAGCAACGCAAGTGCTCAAAATACAAAGTTCAGACATGGCATGGGGTAGCATAAGCAGGAATTGAAAAGAGAAAGGTTTTTTTATTTATTTGTTGTTTTTTTTTTAGTTATGTTAAGTGCTGAGACGTAGAGAAAGGTTTTTTTTATTTATTTGTTGTTTTTTTAGTTATGTTAGTTGCTGAGAAATTGAGACTATTTATTGACACTTAACAAAGACAGTTCATTTTATTTTATTGTTCATATAGTGAAGATCATGTAAAAAAATGAAATAAGTAAATAAAAATAATTATTTATAATAACACAATAAAACGATTTTATCTTTGCCACGGAACAAACTAGTTAAATGCGACGAGACCAAATGAAGAGTTCAGATGCAAAAGCCTCTAAATGCCATTTGAAATTTTCTTCTAAAATGACCATTTTTATCAAGCTTGTATATTTAAGTTCAGTAATTTCACTTAAATGACAATTAATAGGTAATCTTCATTGCAATTCAAGTGAAATTACTGAACTTAAATATACAAGCTTGATCAAAATGATCATTTTAGAAGAAAATTTCAAATGGCTTTTGCATCTGAACTCTTCAAATATAGACTTTTACACAAAACGAATTATACGTCAAATTTATCTACCAGACGAGACATCTGTGCTAGCGGCAAACGTCAGAAGCCCAAGCCGAGGAAAAGCTGTTTTAGTCAGGGCTGATGATCGCTGGGTGTCAGAACTCCGAAAACATCAGATACATTTTTGAAATAGATGCTATCTTTATAAACAAACCACAGATTTGAGATTTAAACAACCACATTCTCGCCTGAAACACTCTTAAAATTACATTTCATGACACAATAATAATAGTATTTTGATTGCTCATCTGCTTGCTGGTTGGTGCGAGATGCATTCTGGGATACCTGGCTATCTCAAGTCACCTCTCGATGCATCCTCTGTAAACGAGGCGGATCAAGAACACATCCGGGGATTTGAAGTGGTCTTGGCTAGATGTGAACTTTGAATTGGAACAGTACCTGGGCAGTGACTGCTGACGTTTCTAAAGTACACAAGAACGCACATTGAGAAACGCCTATTGTCTGTGATGCAATTGCGTGTGTATACAAGGTCCAGTTGGTTGCCTGACTTGTGGGTACCTGTGCTGCCCTACAAAGGCAAAGTGCAGTAACTACGCAAACAAAGAACCAGAGAAAAAAGCTTTTAAATTTTTTATAAAACTTTTAAAAGTCAAACATGTTATGGATAGATTGTGGTAATGCTTCTCCAAAACGGGACATAATTGAACCCAGATATTTTTTCGCAAGACAGAACACATGTCATAAAGGCCATTACAAGTGTTAACTCATTTTTGACCAAATGTGTGTACTGCGCTTTGCCTTTGTAGGGCAGTTTGGTGATGAGCTGTTTGAGATCAAACGAGGCTAGGAGAGAGATGAAGTCTGCTGAGGACGGCTTCTCTAGATCAATGTTGAAGTTGCCAAAGACAAAGTGGGAAGTCATCCTCAGGGAAGGAGAGCAGCACATCCACGTCCTCTACAAAGCTTCCCAGTTGACCTGGGGGGCGATACGAGTACAAGGTGGATCTTAATGGGAGTTGTAAGTGTAAAAGCATGATATTTAAAAGAGTTGTTATTGCATAGAGAAGAGAGAGTGGAATATTTCCAATTGTTAGAAATGAGAAGACCAGTACCCCCACCCCTCCCTGACTGACTGAAAGAGTGTGAGAGAAATTGTTAGATAGAGCAGCAGGGTGGCAGAGTCTTCTGGATGGATCCAGGTGTCAGTCAAGCCCAGGATATTAAAAGTAGAAAGAGATGCAAAGGCTGGAATGAAGTCAGCTTTAATGACTGCTGATTGACAATTCCATAGACCCATAGAAAGAGAGAGGTGTATGGCAAGCCGTTTTAGCTTAAATTGTACCCAGCCTTACTCGTTGTAATTGCATTTTTACTAGTAACAATTCAATTCGAAAGCTCTACAATTGCAATTTTTACTAGTAAGAATTGAATTTGACAGCTCTGTAATTGCATTATTACTAGTAACAATTCAATTCCAGAGCTCTTGAATTAGAGAGCTCATTAATATTAATTCTTAGCACTAAGAATTCAATTAGAGAGCTCTTCAAATGCAATTGTTACTAGTAAGAATTACAAGCAGAGAGCTCTCTAATTCAATTCTTCCTAGTAACAACTCAATTGCAGAGCTCTTTAATTCAATTAGAGAGCTCTCAAATTTAATTGTTACAAGTAAAAATGCAATTACGACGAGTAAGGCTGGACGGCTTACCAAAAGAAGTGAGTGTGAGGATAAGGGGATAGCGTGCTGATTAGCAGAATTGCGCTGCCTTCTGTGCATGAAGAGAGGTCGAGAGATAACAGGAATATATTGAAAGCACACGTTGATTAGGTGAAATAAGTAAAAAGAAAGGAAAGGGGTGAAGATACTCAACTGCTTTGTCGGTGTCTTTGCTCTGTGGAGTCGCGCAGGAGGCCTCCTTTACATGAACGCTTCTCACGCTGCACTGATATACCAATCAGTCACTGAGTGAGAACAGCTGCAGCCGGCCATGGGCGAGGGCGAAACCGTAGCCCCGCCCCTTTTCAGCATTGCGCTCGTTGTCTTGTCTTTTGACTTCCGGTCAAAAATTCCCGGTCGACACTTCTTAACATATCTGCTTTACAATGCTTATGATAAACATTACAATGCTCATGATAACTCTACAATAAGTGAATCCACTTCACCAGCTAATTACTCCTCGACAACGTTGCCAGAATGACACAGAGCGACCGCAAAAACGGAAGTTCATAACGGCGGCAAAACATCTAAATAGATTCAAAATAGAAGCGCGAATAATACTGATATTTCTTCAAGATAGACAATTACAAATGAGCAAAGAATCGAAAATAGCCCTAAATACTAGATAAATAGCAATCAAAGCAACAGGAGAATATCAGAAGAAAAAAAACTCCAGCCCATAGGCGTGCGTGTTATTCTAAACAATTACAATGCAGATATTAAGTGAAGATATACATAATAAATAAGCAAAGAATAGATAATAAAAAAAATAGCCCTACTTAATTGAGCAACGGAGAACTATGGCTAAATATTAGGATATGAATCAATTTACGCGCTCTGTTCCTCACGGACTGACTTCTTGTTCCAATCTTCGTTTTTCTTTATGCAAAATAGTTTTGATTCTGGGGTGAAATTTGACCCGAACCTGTAATCGTGAGATTCATCCACGGGTTTTGCTTTTGTTCTTCTTTTCTTTTGGTTACAGAAACACGTTTTCCCTTCAGATGGAAAATCAAAAGGTTGAATAGGGATGGAAAGTCAAGTTTGTTTGTTCCATGATTCTTTGCTGTAGTTTTAATCACTGTTGTTTGTTTCGTCGTTCTTTTCCCTTCAGTATTACGTGTAACAAAATCAGGACTTGAAAATTTTTTTGTCTTTTTTTTTTTTTTTTGTAAATTGCTTTTTTAAAGTATATTGTTTTTTTTATAGTATCTGATATTTTATTGTGAAATTTAAGTATATAAATATATTTTTTGGTGTAATGTTCCACTGTGCCATCCGGAGTCACATATTTAGTCGAACTTTTTGGTTAAACTTTTACTCTGCTAAAAATGCTTTTCTTACTCAGTATTTTTGCCTTGATTCCTGTCCAAAAAATCTTACAACAAGCTGCATTTACTAGAATAGTATCTATAGCATAAAATATTATGCCTTGCTTTCTAGGGGAAATTTTTTTTTTGCTTAAAACATGATAATTTACCTGGCAATGGGGTCAGAAACATAATATGGTTTCAGCTTGATTTAAGTTTATTTTTCTCATCCCATTGGCAGATCATTTCCTGTTTTAAGCAAAAATTTTAATTTGACATGATGCCTTATAAAATTTTACTCACCAAGTAAATGCATCTTGATTTAAGAATTTGTTGATATTTGGATTGGAAACGATACAAAAATACTAAGGAAAGCATTTTTTTTCCAGTGTAGTTTTGATTTAGGGCTAATGTATCACACGCATCTAAACAGGGTCCTCTGCTGTGTTTTACCCTTTAATCTGACATTAAATGCCCATTTATAGCAGTAAAGTTCATAGAAAACACGGACACATAACAGCAGAAAGCTCAAAGCTTTAAGATAAACTACAGTAAAGGAGTAGTTCACTTTTGAAAAAACTTTTGCTGATAATTTACTCACCCCCATGTCATCCAAGATGTCCATGTCATTCTTTCTTCAGTCGAAAAGAAATTAAGGTTTTTGATGAAAACATTCCAGCATTTTTCTCCATACAATGGACTTTACTGGTTACCAAATGGCTCAAGGTCCAAAAGACAGTTTCAGTGCAAACCGTTCAAAGGGCATCAAACGATTTCAGACGATGAATAAGGGTCTTATCAAGCGAAATGATCGCTCATTTAAAAAAACATACAAAGTTTTATAAGCTCAAATGGTCGCCTTGCTCTGTTCTGTGATGCACGTTTGTGA